AGCGCGATTTTACAAAAAAAAAAAAAAAACATGAGCAAAGGTTCGACAGAAACAAAAAGTTCGTTGAAAATCTGGCGCGCGTTCACTCATGAGTGCACTAAACAATTTTTTTGCCTGAAAAAAATAATTTTTTTTTTCAAAACTTTTTCTGAATAAAAAATTTCAAAACCAACGATGGACGATTTAGAAATTATCAAAGAAAATGTTCAACCATTACGTCAAGGCAGGAAAATTGAAGAATTAAAAGCAGCATTTGGTTCTGATATTGTCGAAACTAATAACCGTCGTGAAATGATTCGACAGTAAGTTTTTTTTTCTAAAAAAATCTGTTTTTTGCTTTTTTTTGATTGAAATTTTTTTTTCGAAAATAGAAAATTCCAAAACGACATTGATCAATGCAAAAACGATGATGATAAACTGTTTGAATTATATTATAAATATATTGATTGGATTGAACAAAATTATCCACATGGTTCGAAAGAGATAAAATTCAAAGAAATATTGGAAAATTGTTTGGAAAAATTTTACAAAAATGAAAAATATCAAAACGATGAACGAATGTTATCGATATTTCTGCGTCACATAAATTTAATTAGCAATCCGATTGATGTTTTTAAATTTTTTTATAAAAAAAATTTTGCAAAAAAACTATCACGTTTTTATAAAGAATGGTCATATCAATTTGAAATGCAAAATAAATTCAAACAAGCAATGAAAGTAATCAAATTAGGTATTGATAATGGTGCCGAACCAATATCGGCATTGACAAGAACATTAAACGATTTGGAAGTACGAACGATGCGTTTTGTTACAACAACAGCAACGGACGAAGAACAAACCAACGAACGAAAAGCATTGAATAAATTAAAACCATTAAAAGATTCAAGTGGGAAAATAGTCAAAGCACCTATAACAAGAACTTGTACATTGAAAAATAATGATGGTATTAGGAAAATATCGAATATTGATCCTAAATCAAATCAACAACAACAACAAAATGTTGAACCAAAATTTGAAATTTTTACTGAAAATGAAATTGATGATGATGATCAACCACCACTGCCACCACCACAATCAGATGATTTGAAAATCAGCAATCAACAAATATCGGTAAAAGAAAATGAAATAAAAACCGATCAATGGAAAGGAAACCGGTTGGATTTGAAGAAGAAAAAATTACCATTATCGGCTAATAAACAGGAAAAATTTGAAATATTTTGTGATTCGAATAATGTTGCAGTGTCGTCGTCGTCTTCATCAGACAATAATGTTGATAAACAACAACAACAAAATAACGATGATCAAAAATATCCTGTAGTTATAATGGATAATAAAGAAAAATTAAAAGGTTGGATACTATACGATCGTATCGATGAAATATATCGTAATGGAACAGAATATTCATTGGAAGAATTAAAATATAAAAAATGGTTGGCCAATCAAGAAGAGAAATTGTTGATGGAAAAACAAAAATTAGCTGAAAAAGATGCTAATGAAAAAACCGCTGCTGCTGCTGCTGTTAATGAAATTGAAAAACAAAATCAACCAGAATCGGAAGAAAAAACAACATTATTTTTTATTGATCCAAAAAATTCAACAGAAATAATATCATCATATTTAAATAGTACATTATATCAAACATTTAATCAAACTGAACAATCAAGATTTATTATTGCTGCCGATATTTCACATACTGGATTTGATAATTATAACGATAATGATAATGGTAATTATCAATCGGCTGTTGATCAACAACAAAAACAACAAGAAAATTTTAATATTTTTGTTGATAATGATCAACAACAACAAAACGATAACAACAAATTGGATCAAACAATGATAAATTCACCATCATCAAACGGTAAAATTGTGAAATCTCAACAAAAACAACGTTTAAATCTCAACAAACCAACGTTTTTTAATGAAAATACTGGACATTTAAGTCCGATTGTTGAATTAAGTCGTGAAGAATATAGTAAATCTTCATCATCATCGTCGTCTTCGTCATCGGCTACAATAAGCTATGTGGGTACAAAAAAAGTACTCATTTTCATCAATAATAATAATAATTTGGATCCATTTGATTTGAAAAATCGACAAAAAATTTTATCCAAAATTTCTGATCCAATTGATTTTCGTACTGGTTATCATAAAATATCCGGGCAAAAATTACCCAAAATTTTTATTGGACAAATTTTTCAAAATTTTAATCAAAAATTTATTTTACTTCCTTATGACAATCATAACGATGATGACCATGATAATAATGATGAAGAATTTTATCTTTATGCACGACCAATATTGGATGATCAAAATCAATCAGATTTTTCAATAAATTCAATGAAATTATCCAGAAAAATTGATTATTATTGGGAATTCTATATTTATGATGAATTACGAAAACGTTTAAAACAGAATAAATATGGTACCGATATTGATCTATCGATATTATTAATTGAACAAATGATTTTCTTTCAAAATGGTTATCTAACATTTTATAAGGATTTTGATTGGAATTTTTCCCTACGGAATTTAATTCGAAAAAATCAAGAAAGATTTCCCGATTTAATCATTGCAATTGTTGCATTAGAATTGATATTAATCATTAAGAAATTACATGATTGTGAAATAATTCATTCGAATATTTCCATTGATAATGTTATTCTGTCTTCAATGTAAGTATCTTGACTTTTGGAAAGTTTTTTCTTTACTAAGTTTGTTTGTTTTTGTCTTGTTTTTCAGTAACGAAGATGATATTGATGCTTTACCAATACAAACATCATTGATTAAATTGATAAATTTTTCACAATCAATCGATATGAAAATTTTACCCGATGATATTCAATTTGATATTCAAACAATTGAAAATAAACAACAACAACAATATCGATTATATTGGGATATTTTACAACCAAAATCATGGAATTATCAGGTTTGTCGTGGTTTTTTTGAGAAGAAAATGTCATTTTCATTTAATTTTTTTTTTGTAGATTGATTGGATTGGTTTCTTGAATTGTATCCATTGGATGGTATTTGGTATGGATTTAAAAATTCAAAAACAAAATCAAAACATCTTGGTTTTGGAACAAACATTTGATTCAAATCTTTCGACAATTTTTGAACCAATATTTAAACAACTTTTAAATCTAAATGCTAATCAAAAACCAGATCTAGATGATCATATTATGAAATTGATTGATTTTATCAAATCAAATATCGATAAAGATGACATTAGTATGTTTAATTCATTTTTCTTAACTAATGAATTGAATCGATTGTAAAGTAAACAAATAATCATTTTTTTCAAAAAAAAACAACAAAAATCATGATAATACTGTATTATTCATTTCAACACGAGATAAAATTTTTTTTTGATTAATTTCTTCTTTAATTTGTTCGTATGTCATAAGTGAAACGCCAAGTTGATCTTCCTGTATTAATTCACATAAATAAAAAAAATTTTTAGTAAAAATTTTCGTTTTTTTTGTTGTTAACTTACTTTTGAAAATGGTTGTGCCATTTGTTTTAGAAATTTCCTGGTTAATTGTACCGATTCTTCAATACTTAAATTCAATACACCTTTATTCATATTTTCTTGTATCCATTTTGGTAATTTTTTCAATTTATCATCACGGGCAAATCTCTATGGAAAATTTGACGAAAAAGAATAGGAAGTGTAAAAAAGATTCGAATTCGAATATCTATATCTACCTTATCAGCAAAACACATTATGCCATAATCAGTTTTACCACGAACAGCACGGCCAACACATTGTGCAGCATGACGCATAGCATCGAATGTTAAAAAATCACTTTCTTTTATCTGATAATTATCGAATAAATATTCTAATCTTGCTTTCAATATTCTTGATTGTGTATAAACATATGGTATGCCGAACATAATAACACAACGGCCAAGATGATGATCAAAATCAATACCTTCGGAAATTTTACCACGGGCTACGGATAACAATACAGCACCACGACCATTTTCACATGCACGAACATAATTATAAAGTGCTAGCGATGTTTCCGATGCATCTTGTGTTTCGATAAATAATAATTTATTTTTTTGTATCGAATCAATAATACCTTGTTCATACCATGATGCAATAATTTGTTCCATATAAATATAACTTGTAAAAAAACAAACAATACCATCCGGTACTATTGATGACATTTCAACTAAAAGTATACCATAATTTCGGATTACAGACATATCATTTCTAGTTTCAAATTTTGATGTCATTGGTACTTGATCATTTCCTTTGGTAACAATCAATGGGCAAATACATTGCCTGGCTAAACTCATTGTAAATGTTCGGGCTACAACTGGATTAAAATCTAACATTTTTGGATACATTTCAATTGGAGATAGCGTTCCCGATGTAATTATAACTGATTGAAATCTTTCGAAAATTGGTTTTATAGCCAACGATGCATCCAAACAGCTAAAATGTAGTATAGGATTTGATACATTTGGTGTACGATCATCAAATGGTTCAATAATGATGGTAAATCCACGTAAATAAGTACTGACTAATGTAGCAAAATTACATAGTAAAGTTAGTGGGGTAAAATCAGTAATGTTATTTACTTCCAATGTTCGAATCAGTGACCGAAGACGTTCGGAACAAAATCTCAGTGGTTTACGTTCGATAGTCATTTTGGAATAAATATCTTTTAAAAATGCTGCTGGACTTTCTTTCACTACATGTTGAATACGTAGACGTGATTTCATATATTCAAGGAAATATTTTAAAAATCGTATAAAATGTTCAGCCGTACGAATATTACCCGGTATAGCTTCTTGAAGAATATCACTTGGTAGGATTGGATTTGCAAGGAATAAATCCGTCTTTTTTGCTACCGATGCATCATGTAGTCCTTCGAGCAGTTTATGATATTCAGATTCTAAACGTTTTTCATCCACTTCTTTTATCTGTTGAATTGTTTCCTGCAGCGTACCAATGTTTGATTGACATTTTTCCAAAATACGTTTATTAATAGTAACACTCATTGATTCAATACAAACATTATCAATATTATGTGCTTCATCAAAAACAACAACCGAATTACGGGTTAATTCTTTCGATACAAGTTCAGCAATTTTTGGATCCAATAGATAATAATAACTATAAACAATAATGTTTGAATATGATATAGCACGACGTGCAACAAAATATGGACAATAACCTTGTTTTCTACCCAGATCTTTAAGATCATCAATATTATAAATACCATTTGGCAGGACGAATTCACGACCTTCATTTTCAAATTGCTCATAAAAACTACATAATGCATCAGGATTATCGTGGTTTTTTTGTCGTTTATGTGAAGCGGTCATACTGAAACACAAACCATCAACAGTTTTACCATCTTTTTGTCTGCTTGCAATTGGATGAACGCAAAGATTTTTTCTCGATGTCAAACATAAACCAACAAGGGAATCATCATTATTTACATCAATATAATATTCATGTAATTTTCTCAATTCTTCAACAACTTTTTCAATTTCAGGTATTGTACGTGAACAATAAATCAATTTTTTCAACGAATGTGGATAACGTTTTTGATAGGCAATAATTAATGATAACAACGAAGTTGTTTTACCAGTACCGGATGGCATTTCCAACACTCCATGTCCTTTAGCATCTAAACATTTTTTCAAATGACACATATATGCATATTGTTCCGGATAGATATAATTATACGGGAAATATACATCTAATCCATCGATTTTTATCCTGAAAAATTGATTGAAAAAAAGTTAATTTTCGAAAATTTTCAATTTATTTACCTCATTTTTTCCGATTTTCAAAATTATCGCGTGCAAATTCAGATGAATACGTTGTTCATGAATGAAACATTCAACGAGTGAAATCGAACGTTTTTGATGAAACAAAAGCTGCATGTGTGCGAATCTCAAAGTTTTCAAGTTTGAAAAAATTCAATTTTTCAATTTTTTATTTCTTTTGTTGGCTTGCGATTAAATGGTTCAAATACAAACTGGAATCCTTGTTACTTGTGATCCGGCAATGAAACAATTTTTGCTTCATCTGGATGAAACTAATGCATTAGGACAACGATTTGTACTGCAAGATCTAGATCCAACACATTTATTAATCACTGCCGAAGTATTGAACATATTGAAAACAAAAATCGATGATTTATTGGATCAATTTTCATTTACCGATTTAAGTTGAATTCAATTCTCCAAACAAAAATGTATAAAAACAGCGGCCAAAAACCATCCACTTCATCCAGAATTTCCATCACACGTAAACAATATAGAATTCTGGATGAAAGTACAAGAAATCGTAGAAATCGTCAACATATTGAACAACTCGAAAGGGATAATTTTCATGAAGATCCACATAGTAATCTGGTGATGCATAAAAAAGCACCAAAATTTGAAGATCCAACAACAATGAATTCGACAAACAATACGAATATCGTTGTCACACCAAGACGTATGAATGTTTCACGTTCACGAATATTTACATTGAATACATTGATTGAAGAAAATTCACGGCTTCCACAACCAAATTATGTATCGATAGCCACACGTTCGTTGAATAATTATCCGAAAAACAAGTTGAATTCGTCGTCATCAGATGATAAACAATCCAAATCAAAATTATATTCAACATATTTTCCATTGATTGAAATTCCATCCGTTCGACGACATTTTTGTAGTGTTTGTGGTTTTAAAAGCCATTATACTTGTATTGTATGTGGTTTTCGTTATTGTTCTACACATTGTCTACAGATTCATGTTGAAACCCGATGTCTTAAATGGACCGGGTGAATCTGAATATGAATATTTTTTTCATGTAAAAACCAAAACAAAAAAAAATCTCCTTTATGTAATTTTTTTCTCTTTGTTTTTTTTAAATAAAAATCTTTTTTTTCAAAAAAAATTTTCCTGTATCGTTTATCGTGGACAGGCACAGAGTGTTTGCGAGTTGGACTCAGAAAAAAAATTGACAATTTCAAGCCAAAACCACCTTTGAATGGCAAAATTAATTTCATCAAAATTGATAAAAATGTGTATTTTTTGCAGCCAGGAAAAATTGTCGATTCTGTTTCAGGTTAGCGTTATCAGTTTTTTCTTTTTTGAAAAAAATTCTGAGTTTTGATGTTTTGTTGTTGAAAATTCTGATATGTTAGGATGAAAAATTTTTACTTATCAAAGATATTCGTCCGGCAACCGAACATCATTATCTGGTCATACCAAAAGAACATTATTCAAATATTAAATATTTAAATCAACAACAAATACCGATGAGTATGTTTTTGGAAAATATTGAAAGTTTCTTTGCTTTTAGAATGATGGAAATTTTTTCTTTCAAATTTTTTTCAGTTGAAAATATGAAACAAATTGCCCAAGATTTTTTACAAACAAATGTTTCCGATTTTGATCAAAACAATTTACGGTAATTTCATTTGCATATTTCTTCATCGTTTGTAATCCAAATTCTTTTCTTTTCTTCATCAATTTTTCAGATTAGGATTTCATTGGTCACCATTCAATACGATTGATCATCTTCATCTTCACGTTTTATATCCATATCGACAAATGAATTGGCTACAGAATCTAATTTTTCGTCCAAATTCCTATTGGTTTATTGATGTAGGTTTTCACTTTGATCAATAATTTAAACGATAAAAATCATTATTCCCTCTCTATATAAAAAGGTTGATGAAGGAATAAAATATTTACAAAACAGATAATGATGGTTGGTGGTAGGTAGATCGAAAAAGAATATAGCAAGAATATTCTTCTTCTTAATGCGCGCATGTTCATTTCGAATTCCAATGAAACGTTCGAATCGAATATTCATCCGGGGATCATCATCATCATCATTATTGTCGAACCAGAAAAATTTGACTCAATGGATTCTACATTCTTTTTTCATCGTGAATTTTAGCCGTTAGAATTTGCTCTATATTTTTTCTTGAGTTTTTTAAAACAAATTTCCAATGTTTACTTTTTTTAAAATGTAGTTTTCTTTCAATTTAAAGAATAAAAAATGAAGAAATTAAATTTTTGATTTTGGCCTTTTTTTCTTCTTCGTTTTTCTATCCTACAATGGTTGTGAAATTTTATTTTTTCTGGTTGTGATTTTCTCCTTTGAATTTAGCAATATTAGTCTTATGGTTGTGACTGTATGGTTGTGATTTTTTCTTTCATTCATTCATTTATTCATCTCAAAATTCATTTAACAAAATCATCAGTGATTTCAATCAATCAATCAATCAATGTTTTATCATCATGTTGAAGCTACAAAATGAAATGGTATATCCAAAAGAAGTATAAACAACATGATGATAATCAAGATAGCCTAATATCTACATCGAATAATTCAAGATTAATTTCCGAATGTCCAAATCATTCGGAATCATTTATTATCGATAGAAAATTGATAAACAAACATCATCATCATCATCATCCAAATCGAAAAGAACGACATTTTTTCACCAGTCTTTGTCTTATAACATTTATATTGATTGTTTTAATATTGATTTCAAGTAATAATTTCAATTTGATTTTTCGTCATCAATTTATTATATGGCCGAATCCCGGATTGGACAAGAAATCGATGAATGAAACCGATAGGATAATTTCGAATGAAAGTCAAAAAGTACTTCCACATTGTATAATTGTTGGTGTTCGTAAATGTGGTACAAGAGCTTTATTAGAATTTCTTGATATTCATCCACAAATCACAAAAGTGATTAATGAAATTCATTTTTTTGATGATGAAAAACATTATAATCTTGGCTTAGAATGGTACCGGCAACAGATGCCTGCAATATCAATAAATCAATCAAATATTGTTATTGAAAAAACTCCAGCTTATTTTGTTACCGAATCAGTTCCGGAACGTATTTATGCTATGAACGCATCAATTAAAATTATATTGATTGTTCGTGAACCTGTTGTACGATTAATCTCAGATTATGCTCAACTGGCAAGTAATCGAATGAAAAGTGGTGGTAGTCAGCGTCGTATAGAAACATTTGAAGAATCGGTTCTTTATCCAAACGGAAAAGTAAATTCCAGTTATAAAGGAATACGAATTAGCATGTATGCTGTTTATTTTTCACGATGGATTAAGGTTTGTCTGTTGTTTGATTTTTTGAAATTTAAAATCTGATTCTATTTTTTTTGAAGCTATTTTCAAAAAATCAAATACACGTTGTTGATGGTGATCAATTTGTTTATGATCCATTACCTGAATTGAAAAAAATCGAAACATTTTTGGGCCTACCACATTCGATTGGACATGATGATTTCATCTATAATGTTACCAAAGGATTTTATTGTATACGATTGGCTGATAATCAGGAAAAATGTTTGAATAAAAATAAAGGCCGTCGACATCCGGATATAAATCCTGTTATAATTAAACGTTTACGAAAATTCTATGAACCATATAATAAATTTTTCTTCAGTTTAGTTGGTCGAAGTTTTAATTGGCCAAATCGATAATCATCAACATTCAATTCATCTAATTTTCATTTCAACATGATTTTCTATGGTTGTGAAATTGTGCTTTAAAAAAAACAGAAAAAATTCATGAAAATCAAATCGAACAAATTCAAAATTTTTTTTTTGCCATTTTTAATTTTATCATTTTTTTTTCATCGAGATTGATAAACACAAACAAAAACAAAAAACAGGAGAAACAAAACAAAAAAATCCGGATGTTTCACTAATTCAATCTGTTTTTACTAATCATTATTATTATTTTAATTATTATTATTATTATCATTTTGAATCAATCTCTATAATGATATTATAATTTATAATAATATATTTTATAAATTATAAATATGAATAAATAAGTAGTCGAGCAATGGTGGTGATTGTTTGTGTTGTATGACAATGACAATGACAAAAAGTCAAGTCAAACCACAAAAACAACCTTGGCATATTGTATAATTTGAGACAAAGAGAGAGAAAAACTGTTATTGTTTTTTAGTTTTAAGTAAAATGAAAAAAATGGAGCAATTAGTTGTTTTTGGAGGGAAATATCGAATCATACGAGGATAAAACCAATTGTTTTTTGAGTCAGTCTTTTTTTTGGTCAATTTTGGTTTGGTTTTTTGATTTGGTAGAAAAAAATGACGACAGGGTAAAATAATCAGGTTTGATTTTTTTTTTGTAAAATAATTTAGATGGTAGAATAATAATAATAATAGAATTTGATGTAGATAGAATATAAAAGCATAATAACAATAACGATGATGATAATAATTTTTTTTTGTTTGTAAATTTGACATAGAAAATCAAAAAGAATTCAAAAAGATTTTTTGTTTTGAAAGATAATTTTTGATGAAGAAGAATTAGCTTGAGCAGAAATTGATTAGAAATACAATATGAATGATGAGAAATGGGATGAATGGAATTGAAATGAACAATAAAATTTGGTTGTAAAATCAATATGCGTATGTGTGTTTGTAAAATAGACAGAATAATAAAAGGAAGAATTTTTATCGAACTGGGAAAACAAACCGGACATTATATTAATAGTAGTGGGGGAAAAACCATGTAAAATTGGGTAAAACAAACGAAGATGAAGGATGAAAAAGTTGAATGGATTCAGAATAGAAGTAAACTTTGTAAAGTAAATCAGAAATGTGGAAGGAATAAAAGCGGAAAACAAAATTAAATTATTAATAGGCGGTTATATATTAGTAGACTAGTTTCATTCGGGGGTTATTTTTTTCTTCTTCGAAAATGATGATTGTTGTTGGGGTTGTCGATAAAAACAAATGACATTATTGATGATAATAATATTGATGCACACATACACACAATAATTAGGCAGTGTAATTATTTAATGAACGAATAAAAATATCTTGAGGAACTGAACGACGACGTTGCTGATTACAACCACGCTGTTTGTTATTATTATTATTAGTTGTCAATAAATATTGATGACAATTATTGGCGGCTGTTTGGCTACCAGTTATGTCAAATAAACTTGATTGATGATATTGATATTGATGATGATGCGGTTGCTGCCCAAAATATAATGATTCCGATTGATGATGATGATGATGATGATGGAACATCATTCGATTGTTGTTATTATTACGATTTCTATTGCTTTTACCTTTATAATATCTGTTTGTTGTTGTTGTTGTTGATTGCTGTTGTTGTAGTTGTAGTTGTTGTTGTTGTAATTGTAGACTAGTTTTAAATAATTGTAAATTTCCTTTTTGTATTTTAACATTTGGAAATGATGAACGTCGTTTAGCATTATTATTATTATTATTATTGATATTGATATTATTATTTTTGGCTTTCAATGAATTACATAATAATAATAATGCAGTTCCTTTAGCTGTATTCATTTCATTTCGGCGAACAATATCAATACAACCAGGTGCTGAACCACGACGATAAAATCCGCTTTGTGGCTGTAAATAAAATGAATGAATGATTATTTTCCCCATTAAAAAACAAAACAAAGCAAACAAAAATTTACCTTTTCAAAACAAAAATTCGGTAATATTAATGCCGGTGTTGAAAGAATTGCACCACAATTAAATTCGGCAATAAAATCATCATCATCTTCTTCATCATTAAAATCCTCATTTTCCATTTTAATCTTTTCTTCATTAATGGTTTTTGCTGTTTTGGTTGTTGCTGTTGTCGAAATTATTTCTTTCGATGAAGCAGGAGTTCCACAACCATTTATACATTTTGATTCGGCCAATTTTTCAACTTTAGTTTTCATTTTATCATTATTATCAAAAAATGTAATCGACGAAAGACTTAGCGTTGATGATAATTCATTCAATGATTTACAACGATTACCAATACCAGTACCAGTAGCAATGATGAATTCAATTTCATGAAATTTATCTGAATTTAATGAAATTAATGAATGACTATTTCGAATAATTGATTGTTTTCCATTATTTTCCATTGTTTTCCACATATATTCATTAAAATTTAAATTATTTATCAATTGTCTTGTTAATTTCGAATCAAGAAATACATTCCATAATTCAAATAATGGTCTGACAATATTTTTGAAAAAATCTATGGAAAAAAATAGTTAATTTTGAAAAAGTTAATTTCAAAATTAATCATTGTAAATTACCTGTCTGTGTTTTTGAGATTGTCGTTGAATTTCTATCACACATTGGTGTAATAGGTAAGCCTAATAATTTTTCAAAATCACCTTGTCGATAAAATTCATTACAAATTTGTTCACTCCAACGTTGACTAACTTTCCATGGACGGCATGGATTACCCAGATCAGCACATTTCAATGCAATTTGTAGAATAAAATATTTATGTTCTTTTTTTTCCATTGAAAATTGTTGTTGCTCCTGTTGTTGATTATTGCCCAATTTTAAATAATTTTCAAATTGTTGTATAAATTCACTTTGCCTACTAATATCGGTGGCTAATATTAAATTTTTAAGTAAATATTTTATCTCTTTCCATTGTTTTTCATTAAAATGATCGAATATATGTGATTCATAAAAACAGGATAATGCAAAACGCCAATGATGACTTTCTAATACCGATAGATTCTATTTTAGACAAAACAAAACAAAAAACATAATGATAATGACAAAATCAAAAACAGGAAGAAAACAGAAAAAATTATATTTACATTATGCATTGTTGTTAGATGGCTATTTGTTGCAATTAAAAATTGTTGATTAACACCAGGATGATCAAGATCATGTGATACAGCTGCCAATAATGAACACATTGCTTCCATTGGTGTTAAATATTGTTTAATTTTTGATTCTTGTAAAAAACAATGCATTGCCTGGGTAACATCAGCTGCATGTACTGAATTATGATAAGGATTTGTATCATGATAGCCTTTTTCCAGGTAATCTTTTTTTTTTAAATAAAAAAATGATTGAAAAAACTTGAAATTTGAACAAAAAAATTACTTACTAAAACAACGTAAAACATTAATCAAATCCAGATTAAATATTTCAATAAAATTATATTCTTCAAATAGATATAATAAAAGACTAGATAATGAATGACCACTAGTCAATACATCATATGAAAATGTATTAAAATTCCATTGATATGAAAATTTTAGATAACGTTTTGCAATACCATAATAATATGGATCTAATAATGGTATTGTTTCTGGATGTATACTTTGTTGTAAACTTTTTCTTCGTCGTAATGATAATAATAGGTAAACACTACGTCTATCAAATTCATCTGATTGGCTTCCTTAAAAAAACAAACAAACAAACATCGAAAGAAAATTGATTAATTTTTGAATTAATTAATGAATGTTGTTGATGAAGGTAATTTGTTTTCGTCCTGCATGCACTTACTTTCTTTCGATGTCGATGATGACGATGCAAGCAATAGTTGATGAGTGTTTTGATCAACCAGATTATTAGCATTTTGTTGAGCAGCTTGTTGAGATTCTGTTTTGCAAGTTTGTTTGTTGATTATGAAAATTATATGGTCATTAAAAAAAAGAGTGAAATTGGAAAAATTGCAATAAAAAAATGAAATTACAAACCTATTGCCCATGTAAAACAAAGTGTTTGGTCATCCTGTGAGGTAACATTAATGATAGTCGATTCTACACGCTAATTTCATGAGAAACAAAAAAGAAATATCAAAAAAATATTAAATAATGAAAAATTAAACAAAATGTACGGAATAATGAATAATTAGCTTTTCTTTAATCTTTCTCTCTCAATCTCATTAATAAAAAACTAATTTTGACAATTATTATTTTCTTATCATTCTTCCATTAACACTTTATCATTTAAAAAAAAACAAAAAACGAATGAATCATTCATCATCAAATATTTACCGTATTTTGTCCAAAATGTTGTACCAAAGTCCATTCACATGGACTAAATTTATTATTATTATCATTTTCAAATGAATGTCGTCTGATTCTTGTTTGTTGTTGATTATGATTGAAACGCATACAAGTACTATATGGTATCATAGCAGCAACAATAATAGAACACTTTTTACTGGTGGTATCCAATAATAATAATGATGATTGATGATTAATGATTGATTTGATGATCGATCAGTGAATATTTAAAATTTGGATTTTGGAAAAAAAAATTTATCTCAAAAAACATAAAATTAAGTAATAATAAAAAAACTTTGATTTGGATGGAAAATGGATGGATGAATAGCAATCGATTTTGAAATCTTTTTTTCGTTGAAAAATTACATCATTTTCTTATCTTCGTTTGTTGTTGTTGTCAACCCTTTTTTTTTAAATTACGCGATGCACGTGTGTAAAATTAATTTAAAAAATCAGAAAAATTTTCGTTGTTTGATTTTCTTCGAGAAACGATGATAACCAAATGATGAATGATGAAAGAGGAAAAAACGAAAAATCAAAAAAACGGATGTTTGATAAACACACCAGTGCAGTGATCGATTGATGATGACAAATCGAATCGAATCAATTAATTTTTTTTTGTTATTCAAATTTTTTTTGTTAATCAGAAAAATGATTGAGTGTAAAAAGAGTGCAAAAAAGAAGAGAGAGAGAGAGAGATGGAAAGAGAAACAAATTTGAAAAAAAAACCACAAAAAAAATTGAAAAATTGTCATGAAAACACATTGCGTCGAAACAAAAACAAAAAAAAAACAAAAGTGTTGCTGGCTGGATGGTTAATTGTCATATGAAAAAGTTTTAATTTTTTTTTTCAATCATCATCATTGATGATGGTCGTCGTCATAATTTTTCAATTATCATCATTTCAATGTTGTTGTTATTGATTTAATGTGTGTTGGTGGTGGTGGTGGTGGTCAAGCTTTTCCATAAATATTAACCATATTAATACTACCCTATTAAAACAAAAACAAAAAAGTTGTTGTTGTTGTTGTTTTCTCTTCGAAAAAACAACACTTCTTCTTCTTCTTCTAACACACCTTGTTTTTCATTTTTTTTAAATGATAATATTTTTCTATAATTTATTAATCGAATGTAGATGATGATGGTACGCGTATGTTTGGAAAGCTTTTGGAAAACTCGATTCTTCTTCTTCTCTTGTTTCGTTGATTCTTCTTCTCTTGGTGGATTTTTTTTTTCGTTGATAGAAAACCCCACACACACACCACAAAAATGAAAAATTCTTTTACGTAAAAGTCATATGTTGGTTGGTTGGTTGTTGTTTTTTGGTTATGTGGTTTGGATGTTCATTATCAATCATCAATCATCATTAACATAATTTTATTTTTTTCGTTAATTGTATAATTTATTAGAATTCAAATTTTCTTCTTCTTTTAGTTCGATTTTCTTGATGATCAAGATGATGACGACAACGATGACGATGGTGATGATGAATCATGAAAAAATTTCTGAAGAAAAAAAAATTTAACACAAAGTTACAACATTTGATTTGGAACNAAAAAAAAAAACAAAAGTGTTGCTGGCTGGATGGTTAATTGTCATATGAAAAAGTTTTAATTTTTTTTTTCAATCATCATCATTGATGATGGTCGTCGTCATAATTTTTCAATTATCATCATTTTCAATGATGTTGTTATTGATTTAATGTGTGTTGATGTTGGTGGTGGTGGTGGTGGTGGTCAAGCTCTTCCATAAATATTAACCATTTAACACTACCCTATTAAAACAAAAGTTGTTGTTGTTTTCTCTTCGAAAACACTTCTTCTAGCACACCTTGTTTTTCATTTTTAAAAAAATGATGATAATAATATTTTTCTATAATTTATTAATCGAATGTAGATGATGATGATGGTACGTGTGTTTGAAAGCTTTTGGAAAGCTTTTAAAAACTTGATTCTTTTCTCTGTTTTCGTTGATTCTTCTTCTCTTGGTGGATTTTTTCGTTGATAGAAAACCCCACACACACTCAAACTACAAAAATGAAAAATTCTTTTACGTAAAAGTCATATGTTGTTGTTGTTGTTTTTCTTGGTTATGTGGTTTGGCTGTTCATTATCAATCATCAATCATCATTAACATAATTTACTTTTTTCGTTAATTGTATAATTTATTAGAATTCAAATTTTCTTCTTCTTTTAGTTCGATTTTCTTGATGATCAAGATGATGACGACAACGATGACGATGGTGATGATGAATCATAAAAAATTTCTGAAGAAAAAAAAAATTTAACACAAAGTTACAACATTTGATTTGGAACACACAGAAAAAACTGATTTCAAACGAAGAGCGAAAATCAAACACCCGATTGATGAACAGAAACAGAAAATTTTTTTGTTAGTTTTTTTCGTTTCGTTTTAACACAAGTCAAAAAGTCGATGAAATGTGAGTGAACTCGAACTGGATTGATGGATGAAAAAAGAGTAGAGCAACGAAAAAAAATGATAGGCTCCCAAATCAAAAAAAAAAAAAAGGATACAAGGATACCACCATACGTAGAACGAGAGAGGAATACCCTGGGTTTGTTGATGATAATGATGATGATGGTAAATATTGTGGTTGGTTTGACGGATCGGTTATTATCATTACCGTTATCATGCTGCTACCATTCGCGAATCGAATCGAATCAAATTGAATTACCGCCTATATCATTTTGGCCAGCAAAATCAAATCGGCGGGGGGGAAGAAAAATGTTTTTCTTTCTTTTTCGAAATGAAAATTTGATCTAGTTTTCGTTTCGTTCACATTCATTCAGATTACATGGCTGGAATGTGTGGCGAGAGTTTTACGAGCAAACAAAAACAAAAAACTGGATACTCTCGTAACCCACTCTTTTTACCAAAAAAAAAAATTAATTCTTCGGTGGGCTAAAAACATCATCAACATTCTACAGTATCGTTTCGTTTCTTTTCTTGGATTTTATTTTAACCCAGAAAAAAAAACTTGAAATGAAAAAAAATCATTCAAAATTCTCTTATTTCGAATGTTTTTCCATTTCGAACGTTTTTTCTCATTTCGAACGTTTCTCATTTCGAACGTTTTTTCCATTTGGCCACTATATAGACATTTGATGGTCAATTTGTGTGTGGAAGAATGTCTGTAATATTCTTTTGTATTCTTTAAGAATCTAACGGCAATGACTTTATATTCCACCAACAACAAAAAAAAGAAAGAAAAAACATTGACAAATTCTTCTTGGATTCTGGCCAAAAACAAACGCATGACGATTCTCTCTCTCTCTCTCTCTCTCTCTCTCTCTCTCTCTCTCTCAATTCAATTTATCTAGGTTGAATATACTTTTCTTCTTGTTGTTGTTCTTCTTCGAAGAATAAACCCGAAGCACATCCTATATACATTCATTTTTTGTGAAAATCTTGTCCTCGATCATCGAGTTCAATGAAAAAAAAATTATTTAGTAGTGGTGGTTGGTGCTTTTTGACTCAACTTGATTCCTTTCATTTGGTGGAATCCACCGAATGATCACACGGACGCTGATGACGATGACGAACAAATCTTCTTTTCTTCGGCCTGGTTGTCCCTGACAAGACAAAATCGAACAAAACATTGCTATAGTCGGATCGATCGATGATGATGATGACACGAAACGAAACGAAGAAAAATGGATCATGGAACCTTGGAACAAAACGAATGTTGTTGATCCAAATATTCTTGATGATGACGTCGAACCAAACAACCCACGCAATATTATTTATTCAGTTCTTGGTCAAAGTGAAAAAAAACAACGTCATCACGACATGATTTTTTTCGGTTTTGCACATGAATTCAATGTGCAAAACGAACGAGATTTATCGATTCCTTGATTTCTTTTTTTTCTTCTTCTTTTGATGATTATTACAAAGTGTATATAGAATAATCATCATGAATTCTGTGAATTTTTCTTTTCATTTCATTCATTTTATTCATTGACCTCATTTGATGAATGAATGAATGAAAGAAAAAGGGAGAAAAATGACGATGATGACGGTGTTTTTTGGCAGAAAATTATGATTTACACAGAGGGATGACGACCGACTTTGTTGATGATGATGATGATGGCAGCGAAAAAAAAATGTCGAACAAAATTCCATCAGAAAAGGTCGATAAACAGAGTTTGAAAAAACAAAAAACAAAATTAAAAAACATGAAAAATATTTGGAATAAATCTTGTTTGGTGGTTCGTCAATGAATAAATCCTTTCTCGCTCGCTCTCTCTTGTCACCCTAATTTCATTTCATTCAACTCAGATTTTTTTCATTATTGACGTTTTTTTTCGGGCGTTTTTCTTTTCAATTATAATGAGGTTTTTCGTTGATGATGATTTAGTAGAATTAAAAAGTGTCAAAATGAAAATTATGAATTTTTTTTTGAAATTTTTTTTTTTTTTTGGTTTTTTGGAATTTTCGAACGTTTTGTTTTTTTGAAAAATATTTTGGAAATGCTAAACAGCGCCATCTTTTGGTTTGTTTTTTAAACTTGAAAAAAATCGAACGTTTTTCGTTCGAAATTTTCGATCATCCTTTTTTCATCAAAAAATATTTTACAAAATTTTTTTTTTTGAATTATAAAAATTTGTAATTTTATTTTAATATTTATTTATCTTAATCATCAGTATATATAGTAGCATATTTATAAATAAACAATGAAGATGATAATGATGTTGAAAGTGTTTTTTTTTTCGCTATAAAAAAAATAAAATGAAATGAATCAACATCCAAAGGTTGGTTGATTTTTTTTTCGATTTCAAATTTCAATCGGTTGTTTTCTTTGTTTTTGTTTAATAATAAGATTATCATGTCCACCACCACCAATACCACCCATTTCTGATGACCATTTTAATTGTGATGGATGAGGTATTTGATTTGGATTATTTGGATGTACATAAGGACAATTAAATGTTTTACAAGTTGATCCATAATGGCAAATAATCTTTGATGGAAAATCAAATGAAAAAATTAACCCTCTGTTTCACCACAAGCAAAAAAAATCAATCATCAATAATCAATCAAAAACTTACTTTTGGATGAATAAATTCACAATTTGGATTTGCACATTTTGGAAAATATTTACAAATAACATTCACTACTGTTGGATTTATTAATTGATTACGTTTCATATTGGCCACATATGTATGAAAAAATGGACAATCTTTACGTGAACAAACCGAATCATATTTACAAATTGGATGTATATAAAGACATTTATCACCAAAACGACAATGTGGAAACATACTTCATGAATGAAAAAAATCAATGAAAAATTTCATTTTGCAAATTTTACAAGCAAAATGATCAACTTACTTGCATTTAATAATTGGATGATAATAATCACATTTATTACCATTCATACATGATGGCCAATAACGACAACGTTCAAATTTATTATTATTATTATTCATCATCATCGAACCTAAATCTTTATATTTTTCTTTTTTATTATTCATTACAAATTGATCCGATATATTTGAAAAATCTTCATTCATAAGTTCAGGATCCAGTTCTTCATCCATCAAAAATAAATCATCATCATCAACATCAGTAGCAGCAGTAGCAACTTTAAACATATTTTTAACACCATCCAATGTTACAAAGAATTTCGTTTGAATCTTGTTGTTGCTGTTTTCGATCGACGCAGTCGTCTTCGTAGTCATCATCGTCATAGTCGCTGAATTTTTAACAACATCAGCATTCGATTCAATCGATTTTTCATTCAAAACCTGATCAATTTTATCGTTATCATTCGCTTTGGCAATCGTTGATGGACACTTTTCCAAGACATTTTTTGAAACCAGAGGTTTTTCCAAATTTTGCGGTTGTTCTGGTTTATCATTGTTGACGGTTAAATTATTATCGTCCGACTTTGCTCGTTTACGATTCTGTGATTGAATTCGATGATGATCATCATTTTCATTATTTTCTTCATCACCATCATGAAGATTTTCAGCATCAAGATTAACAACAGCCGATTTTAATTTTTTCTTTGGTAAACGTTGTTGTTTCGATGATGATGATGATTCTTCAGTTGTTGTCGATTTGGCCGCAATTTTTCTTTTATTCGATATCGTTTCTTTCTTTTTATCTTTTTGTTGTTGTTGATGTTCGATGGTTTTTTTCAATTTATCCTCTTTTTTCGTTGATGATTTTTTATCTTTTTTCTCAGATTTTTTTTCCAAATTTTGTACAATATCAACACCAGAATCATCGCTGGTCAATTGTTGTTGTTGTTGTTGTTTTAATCTGGACAGATGTTCGAATAACCAATTAACAAAATCATCCGAAATTTTTCCCAAAAACAATGCTAAATTATGTTTCATTTCATATTTATTTTTTTGATTTATAACCATAACAATTATGTAATCGATTAATGAACCTCCTGTGTGTGTCGTGAAGAAGAAGAAACACACGTGTTAAAAAATGAAAATTTTCAAGAGAAAAAAAGAATAGCTTACCCAGATTAGTATTGTCCGGATCAAGTTCTTTGAGTTTTGAAGTGACGCTTGCCTTTTATTATTTTTTGGAAAAAAAGTGAAAATCAGGATAAAATTTTGATGAGCAAAAAAACGAAAAAAAAAATTCTTACTTTCAGTTCATCAATAATTTTACTGTTGGCTTCCATAATTTTGTTTATTTTCACACACAAAAAAAAACAACGAATGAAAAGGTCGAGTTAAAATGAATTTTTTTTTTATGAAAACGGTGATTGAAAATATGCGTAAACACTTTACTTTTCTAAAACAAAAAATTTTTTTTTTTATAACGAATTTTGTCGTTTTTTTGTTTTACTCGAAAAATCTTCAAGGATGGAAGAAAAATGAAAGTATCGATTGTTTTTCATGTTCTCATTGCTCGAAACAATCGATATTTTTTTTGTTTTGTTTTTCTCGAATAACACAAGTTGTCGCCGCTAGATGGCAGCACTTTGTTCGTTACAGTTGAGCAAATGTTTGTTATGACGTTATGTGCAAAAAAAAATGTTCGAACTGCAAACTTTTTTGGCGAAAAAAATCAAAAATTTTCTGAAAAATCAAAAAAATGAAAAATTTCATCAAAAATGTTAATAATGTTATTTAAATGAAGAATTTTCGCTATAAATTACAAAAATGATTGGTACTTTGGAAATTGGTAGCTATTTTTGGACATTAATCATCTATACAATATCATTGTTAATATCGTTAATATTTATCACTGTTTGTTGTGTTTGTAATCCAAAATCCAAACATTATTTTCAACAAAAACATATTCTATCAAATGAATTTAATGCCAATAATAAAAATGATGATAATGTTGATGGTGATGGTGGTGGCCAAATTATCGATCGAAGCAATCATCAGGTAACATCTTCACCATCACCACATCGAATAATCACCAATCAAGATGATATGGTGATTTTAAATTCATCAACAACTACGATCAAACAACCATTATCATTAAATCGAGCTTTACCAGACATTCCACAACAATCGATTAAATCGAATGATAATAATGATGCACAAAATAAACAAACATCTTCATCATCATCGACAGCGGCTGCAGCTAATTCATCAACTGTCAATGTTGAAATCAATGATAAATCCTGCAGTAATGATAATCATCAACATTCAAATATTGATGATAAAAATTTGGATGATAATCATGAAGATCATGCATATGCTCGTATACGGAATTTAATAACAACAACAGATTCTTCTACGGATACTGATAATGATTATTCGGATCCAAATTCGATTGTTGTTGTACAGAATCCACCACCACCATTAACACCAAATCATTCTCGTGCCGACCATGAACTGCCTATTTCACCATCTGATCGTATGATAAGATCATCGGAAAATGTTGATGAAATTATGTTACTGAATAATCATCATAATCAAATGATCGAACCAAAACGTGAAATTTCCTACAATACAATATCGGTTCGTGAACCATTAGCTAAAGTTTTAGCTGAAAGAGAAAATCATAATAATCTGAATAATTTGAATCTGGAACATCATTATAATGAAGTTGAAGATGTTGATTGTATGGAAAGATTATCATCATTTTATGAAGAAATTAATAGTGATAATAGTTCAGCAACTTATTCAAAAATTAATGAAACATTACCACCATCATCGTCAACAATTGCTCAAAATAACCATTGTCAGCCTTCAACGTCTAACAGCGAAATGATGGTGAATGAAAATTCAGCAAACAATCTGCCTTTATATGCATTTGTCGATAAAAAAAGTAAAAAATTTCAAAATAATAATGATTCGAATACAGGAGATGCTACGAATGTTTTTATCGATAATCTTTATACAAAAGTAATGAAACCAAAAAAAGAAAATCATTCTGCATTGCAACGATATTCGCAACCACCCCCGCCGCCACCACCATTACCTCCTCCATTGAATAAAGATCATCAACAACAACAACATAGGAATACAATAATATTTGTTGATGCGATACCTTCAACATCATCATATTTATCATCAAATGAACAACAACAACAAATAATGATGAATGATGATGAAAAAGATCCCGGTTATGAAACAGTTTATAAAGAAATTAATCAAAATCATCATAATGATCATGGTCATCATTCGAACGTTAATGAAATTGATTATGGTTATGAAGCAATACAAAATGATCCTGCATATGAAATTGTTTCATCATCATCAACAATGACAACAACAACAGGTTTAGATAATGGTTATGAAATTATAAAGAATCATAATAATTATTATCATTATCATCGTTTTAATAATAATGATAATGATGATGATCAAATTGATGAACAATCAGATCCAAATTATGAAATTATTTCGAATATAAAATCAACAACAACAACATCGACAAACAATACAACAACAGTTATTATCAATACCGGTCAATCATCATTATTATCATCATCGATACCACCATTACCAGCCCAATCTTCATCAACATCAACATCGATTACAAATATACAAATTGTAAATAATAATAATCGTAGTAATAATACTTTATCTGATGATGATAATTTTGTTATTATCGAACATTTATGATCAAAATGACCATTTTATTTATATATCAGTATTTATTATCGTTCAAAAAAAACATATCGATTTTTCATCATCATCATCATATTTTCATGTCCAAATTTGTATTTTTTTCTTCATCATTTTTTTAAAAAATCAATGTCCAATTTTATATATAAATTGTATATAAACTTTTCTTCAAAAAAACGAAAATTAAAACCCACCAAAATTAATTTTTTTTACAAAAATTCGAACGTTTTTTTTTCTTGAAAACGTACACTGTGGACGGTCGATAATTTGACTTTTTTTTTTGTTTTCGATCGAAATTCATTGCGTCACCCTCATTTAATACATTCGATTCGATATAAAAAATTTTCAGAAAAAATTTTGATTTTTTGTTTTTTTTTTCATTCAAAATGATGTTTTTGTTATTACGTTTTCTTTCTCAGTGAATTCTCATTCGATTTGATAATTGATTGATTGAGTGAAAATGCCTAAAAAACTTGGTGTAAATACTAAAGCTGTTGAAGCAAAATTACGTAAAGAAACAGCTAAAAAAACCAAAGAAGAATTGATTGAAAAACAAAAAGAAGATGAATATTGGCGTGATGATGATAAATTGATTGGTAGAAAAATGGATCGACAACAACAACGTGAATCAAAAAAACATGAACAAGCACAACGTAAAGCACAGAATCGTGCTGCATATGAAGAAGAAATGAAAAATATTCAATCAATCAGTTCGTCATCAAGTAAACCGAAAAATCCCGTAACGAAAAAAGTAACCCGTTCACAAATTCAAACATTTGTCGATAAAAAACAAACATTAGATGGTGGTGAAAGTAAAGAACAACAACAACCAACACATTTGGAAATACCATTGGAAGAAAATATTAATCGATTACAAATTGATGGTGATGAAGCAAGAAATATTGATGAAGCAATAACCATTTTAAGGTTTGTTTTTTGTTCTATGTTTAAAGATTTTTCTTTTTTCTAATCGTATCGGTTTTAATAGTGAAAAAGAAGCTGAAATTGATCGTCATCCCGAAAGAAGAATGAAAGCTGCATGGGCTGCATATGAACAAAAACATTTACAACGAATTAAACAAGAAAATCCATCACTACGATTATCACAACTAAAAGAAATGCTACGGAAAGAATTTAATAAATCACCTGAAAATCCAATGAATCAGATTAATTGAAAAAGAAAAAAGGGTTTATATTAAAAAAAAGAAATAATAAAATTTTTATTGCCCAATTTTCAATTCTTTCATTAAATCATCCAATTGAAACATTAGATTTTTTCGTTGATCTTGTAGACAAATCAAATAAGTTTCCAAATCAGTTTTTTTCTTTCGTAATGATGAAAGTTCATTGAAAAAATTTTCTTCGTAATTTTCTTCATTCGAATTGTCAACAGGACGATGATGATCAACATTTTGTTCTTNAATGAACAAGCACAACGTAAAGCACAGAATCGTGCTGCATATGAAGAAGAAATGAAAAATATTCAATCAATCAGTTCGTCATCAAGTAAACCGAAAAATATAACAACGAAAAAAATAACCCGTTCACAAATTCAAACATTTGTCGATAAAAAACAAACATTAGATGGTGGTGAAAGTAAAGTACAACAACAACAACCAACACATTTGGAAGTACCATTGGAAGAAAATATTAATCGATTACAAATTGATGGTGATGAAGCCAGAAATATTGATGAAGCAATAAACATTTTAAGGTTTGTTTTTGTTCTATGTTTAAAGATTTTTCTTTTTTTTTCTAATCATATTCGGTTTTTTTTTCAATAGTGAAAAAGAAGCTGAAATTGATCGTCATCCCGAACGAAGAATGAAAGCAGCATGGGCTGCATATGAACAAAAACATCTGGCTCGAATTAAACAAGAAAATCCATCGTTACGTTTATCACAGCTAAAAGAAATGCTTCGAAAAGAATTTAATAAATCACCTGAAAATCCAATGAATCAGATTAATTGAAAGAAAGAAAGAAATAAAATTTTTATTGCCCAATTTTCAATTCTTTCATTAAATCATCCAACTGAAACATTAGATTTTTTCGTTGTTCTTGTAGACAAATCAAATATCAAAGGTTTAGTCAAAAAAAGAAAGCATTACTACTTTCAAGTAACTTTTTTAAAACTTCGTAATTTTCTTCATTCGAATTGTCAACAGGACGATGATGATCAACATTTTGTTCTTCTCGTTGTTGAGATTTTTGATTCGAATTCAATTCCGAAATATTCAACATTAATTGACGATTTTTTCGTTCCAATTCGGAGATAATTTTTTCATAACTTTCACTATCTGATGATGATAATGATAGGCCATTTGATGTTGATTCTTCACGATGGTGATCATCTCTTAGAATATTCAAATAATGTTCGATTAATAAATGTTCATTTTCAGTTTTATCAATACCATCGAATTGCAGTTGCATTTGATAATCCGAACCATAATCTTCCAATTTAAATTCATTAAAATTATTCGATGAATGTTTGTTTTTATGATAAAATTTCGGTGAAACAATTTCGGATAAATTTAATTTTTTCATTATCATTTTATCCGAGTTTTGTTGATTGAAACCCAGTGATGATTCAGGATTTTCTTCTTCAGCCGGATGATGCTTGGGAAGAAGTTTACGAAATGATCGTCGAAATGATTGACGTAAATGTTTACGAGATTTATCAAATAAATATTCTTTACATGGATGAAAATCTGGATCATGATTTTTCGTACTTTTACCTGTCCAAAAACAATCTTGACATTGATTATAATTATGGCAGATTTTACATTTATAACGAAATCCAACCACCGGGTTTTTTCCACAACAATCACATTGAATATTGTGATGAACAACTTGTTCGGAATCAAATAAACGATGATAAACAATCAGCCAACCGGTTAAATCATTTTGATTATCAAAATTTTGAAAAACGTCGATAAAATGTTTTAAATCAATTGATTCACCGGTGAAATTTTGTTGAATTTCATTGTTGAAATCGACAGGATTTTCCCGATCAAAATGATTACATAAATCATTTAAATTGTGAAGAAATTTTGAAAAATTCATTTGATCAATAAATCCATTTTCATTCGATAATAAAGTGAAAAAATATTTCAATTTGTTTGATAAAAGTGATGAACATAATAATATTAATGATATTTTAAATGCTAAAATATTAATCGAATCATTCGAATGATGATTATGGGCAAAAGTTTCCATCAACCAATTATAAATCAATGCAACTGAATAATCAATATCAATATCTTTTCCTGTTGTTGATGATCGACGACTAAAATGATGAAAAATTGAATAAAGTATGGATTGAATTTTTTGTGATGAAATAACCGAATCAGGATTCAAATTCAAATCACTATTCAAACCAAATTCACGAAATGATTCGATTGTATTGTATAAATCAATCAGGTAAACTAAAGGGAAGAAATTTTTGTCAGCAAAAAAAAACCTAAATGATCCAGTAACTTACATTTAGATTCATTTCGAAGAAATTTTAACTTCGAAGCAATCTTATATGGCTTAAAACGAATGCTATCATAATTTGCAACTTTTCGGGTAAATTAGCCAAATGATTAACCATAATTAAATCAAAATAAAAACTGATTACTTACTTGTTTTTTTATATCTTTCAATTCTTATCTGGATGTTTGAATCGTACATTTTTTTCTCCTTTCAATCAAGCAAAAAAAATTTCAAAAAAAATCCGAAAAATTTTGTCAAAAAAAAGAAAAATGTAAAATGATCAAATTGGGAGCATCAATTCGATTCTCGGCCGAGTAACAACGATTAGCGATATCCGTTCATAGAGGACGTAATCCGTAGACACACCCCCTTGATCTAATGAGTGGTAAAGAATGTTTTGGTTGTAACAAAAATTTTTGGTTGGAAATTATCTTTGTTTTGTTTTTCTGGTCAATCATGATGATAATAATTTAGCCACGAATTTTTTCATTTTCGCATCCAATTATCGATTATATTGATCGATAATTTCATTTTTACTTTTTATTTATTTTAATTTTTACATCAAAAATCAAATGATGAATCTTTTATCGTTATCATCGATTTTATTATCGTTGTTGTTTTGTTCGTCGGTTGTTGTTGTTGATTGTATGTCGGAAAGAGAAAGAATCATATTAAGGTAAACAAAATCTATTTGAAAGTTTTATTGAAAATTTTGTAATTTTTCTGTTTTTTGGAATAGAAATGAAGTTCGTGAAATGTTTCAACATTCATATGATTCATATATGAATTATGCTTATCCAGCCGATGAATTAATGCCCCTATCCTGTAAAGGACGATTTCGTGGTGTTGAATTATCACGTGGTGATGTTGATGATGCCTTAGGAAATTTTTCCCTTACATTAATCGATACATTAGATACGTTGGCGGTAATTTTTTATCTAAAAAACAATTTTCCATTTTTTTTTTTCATTTCTAATTTGTTTCTTCATTTTTTTTCGGCAACAGATAATGGGAAATTATACGGAATTTGAAAAAGCCATCAGCCTTGTTATCAATGATGTTAAATTTGATTCGGATATTGTTGTTTCAGTGTTTGAAACAAATATTCGTATATTAGGTGGCCTATTATCTGCCCATGTTCTTGCTCAAGATATTCAAAAAAGACATCACCGTGATCATCTTCTCGGATGGTATGATAATCAATTATTATCAATGGCTCAGGATATTGGTTATCGTTTATTATGGGCATTCAATTCGACCACCGGTATTCCACATCCAAGAGTCAATCTTAAATATGGAATGAATTCATTTAAAATCGGCCCATTAAAAGAAACATGTACTGCTTGTGCTGGTTCAATGATTCTGGAATTTGCAGCATTAAGTCGATTGACTGGTGATTCAATTTTTGAGGTAATCAAATTCAAATCACTTTTGGGTATTTTGGTATTTAATCTTCGATTCTCTTCTGATTCTTTTTCAGGTAAAAGCTAGAAAAGCAATGGATTACCTTTGGAATCAACGTCATCGTCAATCCGATCTAGTTGGAAATATTATCAATATTGATACTGGTGATTGGATACGTAAAGAATCTGGTGTTGGTGCTGGTATTGATTCATATTATGAATATTGTTTGAAAACTTATATCCTATTGGGTGATGAAAAATATTTAGATCGTTTTAATCGTCATTATGCAAGCATAATGAAATATATTAGTAATGGACCATTTTTAATCGATGTACATATGCATCGACCACATAATCAAGCAAAAAATTTTATGGATTCATTGTTGGCATTTTGGCCAGGTTTACAAGTATTGAAAGGTGATTTGAAACCAGCAATCGAAACACATGAAATTCTTTATCAAATTACGAGGAAACATAGTTTTCTACCTGAAGCATTTACAATGGATTTTAATATTCATTGGCCACATCATCCACTGCGACCGGAATTTATTGAAAGTACATATTTTCTTTATCAAGCTACACGAGATAATCATTATTTAGATGTTGGTCGTGATGTATTGAAAAATTTACAAAATTTTACACGTGTACATTGTGGTTATGCTGCTGTGAATGATGTACGAACAAAAAAGAAAGAAGATCGTATGGATTCATTTTTTCTTGCTGAAACGTTAAAATATTTATATTTATTATTTAGTAAAAATGATGAAATTGGTAGGTATTAACCTAATTTGATTTGATTTGATTGACTAATTTGTAAAATTTTTTTCCCCAAACAAACAGAATTCAATTTGGATAATTATGTGTTCACAACGGAAGCACATTTGCTACCACTTTCATTAGCCTATACAAATAATACTTATCGAAAACAATTTTCTGGAAAATTTTTACGTCAAAATTATTTATTTACTGATTCGGATTATAATTGTCCAACAACAAAAGAATCATTACGTAAAAGTAATCTTTATGATAATAATATGGATAATCTGAGTTATTTTAATATACTACGTATGCAAGTAAGAGATTTGATTTCTAATCGTGATTCACATTCATCATCAAAAGCAAAATCATTTCGTCAACCACCAAGAATAAGGGCTGCACAATTTTCAGCATCAAAAACGGATCATATTGATTTGGTTAAACAACTGGGTATCAATGTAATAATATTAAAAGATGGACGGGTTAAATTAATACATGATTCACAATCAGCACAATCAATGGAAGCAGCTGAAGAAGGTGCTTATTTTATGCAAGAAATGATTACATTATCACAACAACAACATCAATATGAACAAAAATTACGTACAGTTTCATTTATATTATCAAAATCGATAAAAGTTTCATTATTAGCTGGACCGGCACAATTTGGTTTGGATTTTGATGATTCGAATCAACAAAAACAACATCATTCAATTGAATCAACAGTTATTAAATTAAAACCATTTGATGGTTGTAATTTGAATGATTTCGTTGATCAAGACCGTATCAAAAATCAAATTGTATTAGTTGAACGTGGTAATTGTATGTTTATTGAAAAAGCACGTAATGTACAAAAATTTGGTGCAATCGGTATGATTGTTATTGATAATGTTGAAAATAGTAGTTCAAAAAATTTACCAATGTTTTCAATGTCTGGTGATGGACAAAATGATGTTAATATACATTGTGTTTTTTTGTATTCTGAAGATGCAAAAATTCTAATGAATGCAATGGAAGAAAATCCACAAATGAAAGTTAAATTGGATGTTCATCATCATGATGAAGAAATTGTTTCCGTACAAAAAGAATCAAATGAAGATTCCATCGAACAACAACAAAATTCCAATGATAACAATTATATGCAAGATTTATTAGCAAATTTATTCAAAACTGACAAGATAAAATTGAATCTATTATCAATGATTGATTTGAAAAATTTAAATGGAAAACATTCTACCAATATGTTTATGTCAATGTTAAAACAGACGATTGCTTCGCTACCGAATGTTTTGACAACTGAAAATGTAAATGAACTTGATGATGAAATTAATGATGAAAAGAAATTGGAAAATAATATGAATAAATGCTGGAATCATCATCAACAAAAAACGAAACATTTTATTGAATTTATGAAATGGTCATTATATACATGTTTTTAACAAACAACAAAAACAAAACAAGCGGATTAACAATTTTTAAAATGCAAAAAAAAATGTAATGTGATATTACACAAATAACTCTTTTCGTTTCTTCTTCAGTGATAACAAATTATTATCAATTCAAATCAATTAATTAATTATATTATATTTTTAAAAAATTTTTACAAACAAAAATCTAGATGTTAATTACTAATTATGTGGGAAAAATCTTTGTACATAAAATGTTTTTTTTTGTATTTATAAATTATGATTTTTTTTCATTGAATTTTTTTGTTTTCTATACAATATTCACATCATTACGTTGTTCAGATTTAAGTTTAACAAATTCTTTTGCTACCTCATCATTAGTACGTTGTGATAATATACGTAATATTGTCCAACCAGTTTCATCCAGATGAATTCTTTTAGCTAATGGCAGCCAACAAGAACAACTACCTTGATCAATAATATCTTTTAATTGTATAACGGCAATACCAACTAAACGATCTTCACGTGCAAAACAATAATCTTTAACAACAAATTGTAATTCAAATCCGGATACTTGATTTTCATTACTAATCAGACTGGGTGGTGAAAAACAGAAAAAAAATCAATAAAAATCTAATCAATCAAAAAAAAACTTACAAATAAAAAATTTCATTATAAGCAGGTGACCAATTATTATGTTTAGATTTCGTTGCATATCTTCGTTTTTTATCACTTAAATTTGGTCCAATCATACTGATTTCAACAAACGGTTTGAACATTGTATTTAATGGCCATTTAAGTTCATTACATGCTATGACTAAAAAGTTGAAAAAATATGGTTAAAAATTTTCAAAATTGACCGATGACGATTTGAAATAAACCCCCTTTTTTTAACACTTACTTTTAACAGTAATTTTATGTTCACCCGTACCAGGATGTGTAAACATATCAATTTGAATGGATATTTCACCAACTGGACCATCTTCTTGTGTTGCCAAATCTTGTGATGTTTGTGTTGAAATAAATGTTTTTATCAATGAATCAGTTGTTTGTGTATATAATGATAGGGCATATTTCAATGATTGTAATTCGGAACTTTTATCCAGATATGATTTTTTCAAACCATTACCATTTGCATGAAAATAAAGTTTTATCGTTTCTAATGATTCTTCTAATATTGAACAATGTTTTGGTGATAAACTTTTTGCACTTTGCATATTCTATATTTGCGAATGGGGGAAAAAACAACAAACAAACATTAGTCATTTCAAATTTCAAATTACCAAAAATATTACCTCAATAACATTCAACGTTGGTAGTTTACTATTTTTCAATAACCTTGATACATCTTCAATTTTTGTATTCGGTAATGTTGGTAGCAGATTACTTTTTTCCGTCGGCGGTAAAACAATACGTTTTTCAATAGCAATAATAACAATACGCCATAATTGTTTTAGTACACGTTTCAATACTGTACGTTCACAATATTCAGCATATGTTGTTAGTTTTTTATCCAATAAATCCATTAATGGATGTAATATTTGATCAGCATATTGTGATATTTCTGCTGAATTTTTTTGTCCTTGTTTTGATTGTGCAATATTTGTATTTTTTATCTGAAACAACAGGACACCCATTTCTTGTACACTTTGTTTTATAGTATTTTCTAAACTTTTTGAAAATATTCCACTTAAATCATCCAATGCTGAATTCAATGTTTGCTGAAGTTGTGTTAAAATACTTGCAGTATCTTGTTCAAGCTTTTTTTGTTTGAAAGAAAAAACCAAAATTACAAAAAACATCATCGATAAAGGATTAACCCTTGAGGCACATACCTTTTCTCCTCCCATTGATTCGAATAATTTTTCCAATTGTATCCTTAATTGTTGAATATTATTCATCAAAATACATGCTTTTTTATCTTGTTCAACATATTTTGGAAATTCTTTCCTTAAAACATCATTATAACCAATCAATACTTTAACAATGGTTTTAGCAAATCTTTTCATATAACGTTTTACCACCTCGGGATCAGGACATTCCAATTTATTTATAACATCAAATGATTGTGTTAGATGAGTGAATAGATCGACAACCGAATTTGAGAATAATGAATGAGCTGAACTTTGTTGAAACTATATAGGGTGATTCAAATGAATGGATTTTTGTTAATTTACCGAATAAGAAAATCATTTGAAAACAAGACACAAACCTCATCATCGGCATCTTTTTGAAAGGCATTTTTCAAATATTCCATTGATGAATCATCATTTTCATTCAGCCATTGCATAACAAATGGTTCAAACCAGCTGAAAATGAATAAAAATGAATTTTTGCTTGTTACTCAGGTAATTAATTCAAGAATACTTACATTGGATATTCCGGTATAACATCCTTAAAATTTGTTACTTGTTTACAATATGTATTATAAAACCATTTAATTTTAAAATGAAAATTCATATAAACTAAACTTGTACAATAACGTCTTTGTTCATGTTCTTCCAATGCATATTTAATATCGGTTGCAAATAGATTCCACATTGTTTCAATACTTAGATGGCCAAGATTTAATTCCTGTGGAAATTGATTTAGTATTGGTGTATAAATATTCATATCTTCTTCAATAACCGATACAATCAATGTAATCAGACGGGTCCAAAAATCCAAATTATATAAACTTGGCCCCTTCTCGCTTTCATCTTCTGGTTTTTTATTAACAGTTTTTTCCTGTTGTTGCTCGTTTCCAGATTGAAATTCTCTTGCAAATAAATCATAACAATTATCAAATAGAAATTGATATGTTGATCGGATACAAGCTTTTGCACAATCTTTAACCACGCTGCTAGCACGAGGTGGACTTGCCAATTCTAATACTTTCATACGGAAAAATGTTATACTTGTTAATAAATCTATGGTTGATTTAAGATCTTGTAGTTTTTCCGGTGATGATGATGGAAAATTATTCTATAGAAAATTTCAGAATTCAAATTAGATTCAATGCTTAAAATTATCATACAGAAACATACCCGATACATTGATAAATCAATTCGTAATGAATTATGCAATTGATCCAATAATTTTATAAATTTTTCTTTCTAAAATCAACAAAAGTAAATCTTGAGCGAAAAACATTTTGTTTCAAAAAACTTACACCAAAATTAGTAGCAGCAAATTGATCGCTAGCCGAAACGGCAGTCGAACCCGATGTATGTGCATAAAATGCATTAATATTGGCCAATAAAGTGCTCATTACTTCGGGACAACCAGAAAACATATATTTTGTTGAAAGACAATGAAAATGTGTCATCGCTTGATAGATTGGTTCAATACCATAACGCATTGCAAATTCATCAACAATTTCCTGTCCCGGTGGTTCATAATAAATTTTCCATGAATCTTCCTATATCGACCCAGAAGGGTTAGGTTAGGTTAGGTTAGGTTAGGTTGAATGAAATTCGAACGAATTAAAAAAAAAAAAAAATACATCCTATCTTCACTTACCCCTTTTTGTTTTGGAAGTACTATAATTCCATTGTTTTTTTCGGATAAATGCATAAATGTATTCTGGATTTTTTTTTTTGAAATAAAAAATTAGTTTTTTTTTTGCAAAATTAATCAAAATAAAAGATTTACCTCATGTAAACATGTATATTGTATATGATATGAAGCAACTTTTTCTTCACCTTTTATTTCAACATTAATATGCAAACGAATAGCACCGGATACTGCTGATTTATCCGTTCGTTTTTCCAAATTATACCAAACATCCATTTCACCACTTAACGTTCGAACATCGATCAATGTTTGACCAAGAAAATCATCCGATTCACGTGTTAATTTTTGTCGAAGTTTTGATTTCAGATCATTATCTTCATCCCAAACACGTACTTTCATACGTTCGGATGAATTATGACATTCGAAAAAAAATTTTTCATTCCAAACCGGATTCAAATCCTGTGTTATTGTTCGTGTTCGTTTTTTTGTTTTGCCAACCTGTACGGTTACATACGGGTCGCTTGTTCCACTTTTATCTTTGGCAATTAATCCTTGAGCACATATCACTAATTTAAAACAAAAAAATCATTATTATCAGGTTTGATCAACCTAACGTCATTCAAAAAAAAATCAAACCTGTTATTGCAATTTTAGCAGACCATTTTGATGTACCATCCAATACGCTTTGTTTGGCTGCCATCATATGTCCAACATGATGTTTATTATCAATATTGAATACCAATCTATCAATGATTCAATCGATTACCTAGGAAATCTACAAAATTTATCGACAAACCAAACCTTATCAGTTCAAAAACTTCTGGACATTGTCGTTCTCTTGTTGTCATACGTTCACGCATTGCACTAATAATATGATCAGTTTTATCATCTGCTCCATGTTTTTTACTTTTTTCAGCCGCTCCTTGATTGACAAATTGAAAATCATCATCATTTCGAAATTGTCAAATCTTTGATGTTCATTTCACTTACTTTGTAAACAATCAGCATTCAAAAGATCTTTACATTTTTCATGACATTTAACACCACATTCAGAACAACGAAGTCCTTGCCTTGCAATACCCCATAATAATCCTTCACATTCATAACAATATGTTGGACTTGTTGCTGTCCATAAATGAAAATTATGTGGTGTTGTACTTGATATTGGATAAATCAATGCTTGCAATGTTTTTTTATAAACATGCATTTTCTACGACAAAAAAAAAAAAGAATTTAAAACGACAATGATGATAATTGCAAGAAACAAAACAGGCCAGAAAAAACCACTTACCAATTCTTCATCATTAACAATAGTTCGTGGAATCATTGAATTTAGACGTGAATTTCTTTTGGTAGCTTCCATAGTCTTTATCAAAAGAAAATGAAAATCAATTTTATCAAAATCAAAAAGCGAAAACAAAAAAAAAACTTACTTTCAAAACTAATTCACTGACCAATGGTATTGATTTTTTTCTTGGATTTATATCGGGTGTTGCATCGATGGCGCTAAAAAATGGATTTTGGCTACATCAAAAATCAAAACCACCAAAAAAATCAAAACAAAAACAAAAACAGACAATCATCAATGAACAATCGAACGATTTCCGTTCGATACAATCGAACAACAACAAACAAACAAACAAACAACAAACCTATCCTTTATCCAAAGATTTTTGCATGAATCAACACTTCCTTGACGAGCACCACTCTTTGTTTTGATTTGGAAAAAAAATCAACATTTGAAAAATCAATGAAAAACTAAATCAACAACGATACTTACCGCTGCAACAATCCATTTTGTACGACTTTTTTTATTTTTTCGACCCAAATTTTCATCATGGGTTAATTGTTCTGATTCAGATTCATCCAATGAAAGTGAAAATGATTTTCTAGCTGCTGCTCCAGTTGTTTTGGTTGGACTTGTTATCGCTTCATCATCATCAGTGATAATTGATGGTTCAAAACTAACACGACGACTTGATGATTTTGATGATGATTGATGATGGTCATCGACATCTAACAATGATGTTTGTGGTGGTGGCAACGATAATTGATCTTTTGATTCCGTCAATTCTGATTTTTCTTCAATTTGATCATTTGGAATTGATAATTTTTTCATGGATTCTCTATCCAAATTATCATTGTCCATAGTTGTTGTTACAATCATTGATTCATCGGAATATCTTTTTTCCAATTTATTTCGATCAATTTGATTCGGTTCAACGATCATCATCATTGTATCAATCATTGTATTTGGTTCTTGCATTGTTTGTGCACGGCTAGTCAGTTTGGACATTTTACCACTGTTGCTCATTCTTCTTGGTTCACCAATTAGATTATCTTCCGATTCAGCTTTCAATTCCGAATTCGTTTTGGATTCTGGTTCGAATTTTACATCGACGGTTTTGCAGCTGTCATCAACATCGGTGGCGGTGGCAGTGGTGATGATATTATGTGTTTCTGGCAATGAATATTGATGATTTTTTACCATCATAACTTTATCATCTCTGCTACCACCACCACCACCACTACCACTGATTGTTGTCATCGATTCTTGTAGTGATTTAAATCCACCAAATATATTTTTTATTGAATTTTTTATATTATCATTCGGTTGTTGTTGTTGTTTATGAACTGGTGATGGTTGTGGTGATGTAGATTCTTTTTTAAACAATGATCCTTTCATAACATTATGATATCCTTGAAAAACTGAATTTGTTATCGATGTTATAAGGTTATTTTCAGGGATGGTGGCGCCACCACCTATATCCGATTTTGACATTGGTCGTGCTACAGTTGTTGAAATATCTTGCGGTTGTTTTGGAATATTCGGAGATGGTGGATGGATAATCTGTTGTTGTTGTTTTGGCGGAATTTTTTCGATGTTTTGTTCGATAAAATGTTTTTCTTGTTGTGGTTCAATCAGTTCTTTATCAGCTGAAGAATCAACAGCATAAATTGATGGCGTTTTAACTAACGATGGCCGTAGTTCATAATCTTTATTACAAGAAAAATAATCCGTTTCAGCAATAACTTTTAATGTTTTACAACGATCATTGTCATTGTTGTTGTTGGAATAAAATCCGAATTGATCCGAATATTCTTCTTTCGAAAGATTCGATTCATCAGGTACCGGATGATCGGGAAAAATATTTGTTATTAAACTTGATTTTCGTGAACGAACTGGTTCATCAACATTATCGTTATTCGATGGAAAAATATTTGTTACAAGATTTGTTGATTCCCGATCGATTTGTTGGATTTTTTCCGGAAAAATATTTGTCACTAAACTAGGACGACGTGATTCAACAATGACAGCAACAGATTCGATTGTCGTTTTGTTGTTGTTGTTTGGTTCTTGACCTTTCAAATCAAAATATGAATTTATTTGATTCAGATTTTCAAAATCATTTTCCGTTATTATTGGACTGGAATCATCACGAAATTGTACATAATCATTTGATGTAAATATTAAATTTTGTTCAATTTCTTCACCAGGTTCTTGATCTGGTTCTTGTTCATCATCATCTTCTTCTTCCGGAATAATAACTTCATCATAAACATGAACTTCGAACATTTGATCATCAGATTTGATTGCTTCTTCATCTTTTTCTTCTTCATCATCAACTTCTTCGATTTCAAATTGCCCATCATCAACAATATCATCATTTTGAATTTCTTTTACCACTAAATCAATATCATCAAAATCTTCAAGTTTTTTCAAACTTACATTATCATAGTCGTCGTTGTTGATGTTAATGTCCAATTTCTCCGAATGATCTTCGTCTCCATCTTCATATTCTTCATATTCTTTTTCCTGTTCGAATTCTTCACGTTCGAATTCTTCCTGTTCGATTTCCTCACATTCGATTTCTTCACATTCGATTTCTTCTTCATAGGAATATTCTTCACCAGAATCATTATCATCTTCAAATTCTGAACTTTTTTCCTCGACATTTTCTTCCGATTCAATAACAGCTGATAATAATTGTGAAATAACATTTTGTTGTTGATACAGTACTAATTCTAATTTATCTAATTTATCCCACATATAATTATATTCATTTGATATTATATTCAATGTATTCCATGCTATTTTTATATCAAATTCAACATTTGAATCCATGATTTCGATGAATGAATGAATCGATGAACAAAACACAAACAAAACGACGAAAAATGACCAAGTAAGTTTGAATTTAAAAACAAACAAAAAAAATTCCATAGGTATAAATAATGAGCCAAATCTGGGCTCTATACTATATAAATGGATCTGGGTTCCATATTTAGCGACCGAAAAGAAATTATATAGACAAAAAAATCGATTGAATTAATGCAGAGTTGAATAAGGTTTATAAAGAAACTAATGCAACAGACTTTTAATCAATTTTATAAAATGTATGTTTAAAAAAAAATTTAAATCACAAATGATTATCTTTTTTAAAGATTTTGTTTTTTCCCAAGATTAAAACGTTAAACTTAATCCACCATCAACAGTCAGAATTGTTCCGGTTATAAATGGTGATGTAGCTATGAAATATGTAGCATTAGCAACATCTTCTACCGATCCGATTCTTTGTAACGGAATAGATTTTCTGTAATATTCAAGTTGTTCGGGTTTTATATTCGTTGTTGTCATATCTGTGTCGATAAAACCTGTGATCGGTGAAAAAAAGAATGAAATTAGCTTTTCTAGATTGAAAAACAGAAAAAATTACCTGGTGAAATCATATTGACTCTGATATTTTTCGGTCCCAATTCTTTGGCCAATGATTTCGTAAGGCCAATTTGACCAGATTTTGATGCCGAATAAATTGTTTGACCAGAATTTCCATTCGAACCAACAATACTACCAATATTAATTATTGAACCACTTTTTTGTCTTATCATTTGTTTACTTAATAATTTTGTCATTAAAATCATTCCAATAAGATTTGTATTGATAACATTATGAATATCCGAAATTTTTGTTGACATTAATAATTTATTCAGTGTTATACCAGCTGAATTGACAAGAATATCAATCTGTTCATTTCTTTTCTTGACAATTATTTCGGTTAATTTTTGACAAGTTTCTTCGATATTATTTTCATTGGTTATATCACAAATTTGATAATCAACAACTTGTTGATTTGAATATTTTTTCATTGTTTCAACACTTTTGAGTAAATTTTCCGAATTCCTGGATACAAGTGTTACATTGAATGAATTTTCCTATTTTCCATAATAATTTAATTGACAAAGTTTTTTTTTAAAAGCGAAATTCAATTTACCAGAAATTTTTTACCAATTGCAAATCCAATACCACGTGATCCACCGATTATTATTGCATTTGGTGACATTTTTTTTTAAACAAAATTCTTTTTGATTTTGATTTTTTTCTTCAAGAAAAATACAGAATTTTGATCGAACAGAATTTTCGGGTACCGTCGTTTATGAATAAACCACGATTCGATAGAATCTGCCATTGTGTGCTCGCGCCACACTCACAATATTACAATGAAGAGCAGCAGAAGCGGCCGCACACAGCCTTTCATTTGACAATTTAATTTGTGTTTGGAATCACCATTCGAGGAGATTCATTGTGCAAAAAAATCATTTGTTTAAAATTATCATCCAGAAAAAAAAGATTCTAGAATCCCGTAAAAATCGAAAATCATGACATCATCAGCCGGTCAATCAAAAAAACGTGTTTGCTATTATTATGATGGTGATATTGGTAATTATTATTATGGCCAAGGACATCCAATGAAACCACATCGTATTCGTATGGCACATAATTTAATTCTTAATTATGGTCTTTATCGTAAAATGGAAATCTATGTATGTTTGTTTGTTTGTAATGAATTTGATAAATCAATCGATTTTTTTTAAACAGCGGCCACATAAAGCAACACAAGAAGAAATGACTAAATATCATAGCGATGATTATATTCGATTTTTAAAAAGTATTCGACCGGACAATATGAGCGAATATAATAAACAAATGCAAAGATGTAAGACATTTTTTGGTTGTTTTTTCTAAAATTTTAAACTTTTTCATTTTCAATAGTCAATGTTGGTGAAGATTGTCCAGTTTTTGATGGCCTGTATGAATTTTGTCAATTATCAGCCGGTGGTTCAGTTGCCGGTGCTGTAAAATTGAATAAACAAGCAACCGATATTGCTATCAATTGGGGTGGTGGTCTGCATCATGCAAAAAAATCCGAAGCTTCTGGATTTTGTTATGTAAACGATATTGTATTGGCTATTTTAGAATTACTTAAATATCATCAACGTGTACTTTATATTGATATCGATATTCATCATGGTGATGGTGTTGAAGAAGCATTCTATACTACTGACCGTGTTATGACAGCATCATTTCATAAATATGGTGAATATTTCCCCGGAACTGGTGATCTTCGAGATATTGGTGCCGGTAAAGGCAAATATTATGCTGTTAATTTTCCACTTCGTGATGGTATCGATGATGAAGCTTATGAAGGAATTTTTAAACCTTTGATCTCAAAAGTTAGTTTAGTTATTTAGGTTATTTTATGACGTTTCTCATTTTGATTTTTTTTTCAATCATAAAGGTTATCGAAATGTTTCAACCAAGCGCTATTGTTTTACAATGTGGTGCTGATTCACTTTCCGGAGATCGTTTAGGTTGTTTTAATCTTACCTTGAAAGGTCATGGTAAATGTGTTGAATTTGTTAAAAAATTCAATTTACCATTGCTATTAGTTGGTGGTGGTGGCTATACAATACGTAATGTTGCACGTTGTTGGACATATGAAACGGCTGTTGCTTTGGATACTGATGTTTCGAATGGTTTGTTTTTTGTTTAGTTTGGCTATGATCTTTTTATCTGATTGACAATTTGATTTTCTTCGTTTTACAGAATTACCATACAATGATTATTTTGAATATTTTGGACCAGATTTTAAACTTCATATCAGTTCATCAAATATGACTAATGCAAATTCACCGGATTATTTGGAAAAGATTAAGTAATTGAATTTTTTTTTGAATTGAATGATTTTCATTTCATCTTTTGTTTTTTGTTTTGTTTATGTCCTTAGGACACGTTTGTTTGAAAATCTTCGTATGTTACCACATGCACCGGGTGTACAATCACAATCAATACCGGAAGATGCTGTAGATGTTGAAATGGAAGAAGAAGATGAAAAACAAAATCCCGAAGAACGTATTAGTATTCGTGCATCGGAAAAAAGAATACCAAATGAAAATGAACATTCCGATAGTGAAGATGAAGGTGATAATCGTAAAGATTCACGTTCATATAAAAAAACGAAAAAAGTTAAAATTGAAAATAATTCAAATTTGAATAATGAAAAAGATAAAAAAGAATCAAATGAAAATAAAGAAAAATCTGCAACGAATACAACTGCTACTGCTTCGACTACCGCCACCACCACAAGCACCACTGGTGGTTCTTCAGGTGGATCAAATTCTGAAACAACAACAACAACTACACCATCATCAACGGCAGCAGCGGCTACTACCGTTACTGAAAATACTGAAGAGACAAAAAAATAAGACAGATTTCATTATAAAAAATAATCAATTTTTTTTTCATTCATTTCATTTCATTTAGCATATTGAAACAACCCAACACTATATCCTATCATTTTAATTAATTTTAAAAAATTAAAATTTCTTTTTTTTATTTTGAGCATTTACATATAACTTTTTTCAATTTTCATTTGATTTTTATGAAAAAATGGTGTTTCACCTTGAAATTTCAGCAAACGATATCGTTTATCAATTTTCCATAGATAAATTGCAACACAAATGAAAACAATTGTTAAATAAATGATACTTATAATGATTACAATGTTTGATTTACTCATATAATTTGGTTCAGAATTTTCATCATTTTTCATTTTAAATGGTATCAATGATGGTTTTGGCCGGTTCAACCAAATTTCCACTCGATTTAATGATGTTAATGTTTGATCAGTTCTCATCATTAATGGTGTATTAGTTTTTTGTTGTTGTCGAAATGCAGCACAAATTCCTTGTTTGATTGGCCCGTTTACTTTTACATCACTTAAACCGGATCGTATACCAAATGCCGATTCAAATGGATCGATTTTTAGGTCATCCAATATAATGTTGATGTCTACGAAAAACAGAAAAAAATTATCAAATAAGAAATCGCTGAACAAAAAAAAACTCACTTGATATACAACCACGAAAACTAGGTAATGAACTAAAATTCTGTTGATTTATACGACTAGAACCAATAACAATAATATTTTCATCTGTGTTTGGCACAAGTTTTTCATATTCTTTATAATGTTCATCCATTAAAAATATTATGCTGTCCACCTGTGGTTGGATTATTCGGGTTAATTAAGTTTATTAAAAGAATCACCGCAACTTACAATAATCTGTGCTGATTTATCATCACGTTGATAACGAACCCAATGACGATATGAATCGGAAAAATTATCCTCTTCACTTTCAATGATTTTTGAATCTTAACAAAGGGAGAAATTAAGTAGAAATTTTTCATTTAAAACAAAAGTGACTTACAAATTTCATGTCCATCATCTTCTTCAACAAACATTTTACCATTAGGAAACAGAGCTAAATGTAAAAATCGTGTACTATTTGCATAACGAATCATAAATAATGTTGCTCCTTCATCTGTGTTTGTCGATGATGATGATGAAAATGCAAATGAAATATCAATATGATTAAAATCCCAAATTTTCTTATCAAGATAATAAATAACATTTGAACCGGGTTTTTCAAAATGTGCACCAATATCGATATCACATTTTTCACCACGATATGATGTATAATTACAATCACAATTAAATGTTTCTTGTTGCCAATTTTCTGTACAACTACCACCATTATTACAAGGGATATTATCACAAAGCATTTTACATCCTATTTTGATCCTATCAGCTCTATCGGTTTGATTTTGTTCTTGTTGGTGGATTTCGGTGGCCCATTGTTCCAAATCAAAAAGTCGATCACCAATCCGGAAACCTTGTATACAACCAACAAAGCCTGGAATCGAATTTATTAGCTCGGTATCCGCATCCGGAATACCGCCGATAAATATCTGATTTTTACCAATCACCACTTCAGGTTTGAATTCAATCAATTGATCATTTTCATTTTCAATCATCGATGATGAATCGATATGTATTGATTCACGATTATCTTTCATTACCAATTGCATCATTAATGGTATGATTAGATTTTTTTTATTCACAGTAAATACAGTATGATTTGAATGACGTGCAATCTGGATTTGAACTGGTTGTCCATTTGTTAATGTTCTACCGATATCAATTTTACGAACAATAATTTTTTGATGATAATTATATGATAGAATAACCATACGACCATCAGCAATATGAATTTGTAAAAAATTTCGATTGCCATCATGTATAAATAGCAATAATGCATATGATTCATGTGTACGAAAACTTAAAACAATATCTTGCTTTAGTATGGTTTTGATTTGATCAGTGGAAAATTCTTTTCGAAGATATGTCGGTGATTTCAACGTAATAGCATTTTCATTGATATTAATTTCACAATTTCGACCACTATGTGCAATCGGATTTGCACAACGACATTGATATGAACCCCATAGTTCTACGCAGATTGCCTGATTTTGACATAAATTTGGTCGACAATATGGACGACAACCGGATTCAATATTTGGATATCTGTTATTGCCGAAAGGAAAAATATCGATCAATGAATGAATCAATAATCAAACAAAACAAACCTAGTTGCACTAAGATATTGATGAAGATTAACAATCGTATCATCAAGTACCAGTCCACGTAAACATCCAATAAAACCGAGTGTAATTTTCAAACCACGAAGATATCTGATTGGTGCACCACCAACATACAGTTTTCCATCAAAATCAATAAAATGATCATTTTCATTTAGATATAGTATTTTAAAATTTTGATTTATCGAAACTCTGTCAATGAGAAAAAAATTGGTAAAAAAATTTCAAACAAAAACCACAGGATTACCTCATTTGTGTATCATCACGTTCGACCAAAACATATTGCCATTGACCACAATTCAAACATCGACTTGACGCAACGGTTACATTAAATTTTCGATTTCGTAAACAATATTCAAAACTAATTTCTTTTTCACTAATAATTGTCGCTTTGAAATATGTTGTCGTTGTTTCCAAATGTGATTGAAAAAATATAACTGCTCTGTTGGCTGTCGTCTTGAAACTTATGGCCATTTCCCGTCCATTCCAACCAGGAACTTCCAAATATGATTCTTTTGTCTTGAATGTTATTTCATATTTCTGGGTATCTAAATCTTGACAGGAAAGATTTCCAAGGAAAAGATGTGCTTCCGAATCCAAACTTGAATTTGGAAATCGTAGAAAAAACATTCTGGTTATACCAACATCATTTTTATCCGTCAAATATCCATCATCATTTTTCCATCCGGGTATATCAACCGAATCACAATTACAATCTAAACTTGGATCAATACATTTATTTTCACGACGATTTTCCGAACTACAACTACAACCACGTTGTTTACTACTATCTAACCGCAGTAATTTATGTTCCGGTTTTATAGCATACAATATTGTATATGTTGATAAACTTAATGGAACATTATTACATTCATAACGAATATATTGTTTACATTGATCAGAACGTTGAACAAATAAACGTAACATTTCCCGGCTGAAATCACGATAATATACATCCATATATTGATTATTTTGTTGTCCTTTTTCTCGTACGATCACTTGATGTTGAATATTATGTTCAATAACCGTATTGATCATCGTTGTCGTTGTTGTTTTATTATTCGATCCATTCATTGCGGTCGTCGTTGCAGAAATATCACAATAAACATGAGCCGGTTGTGTTGGTCCATTACGATCTAAATCAATCATATAAATACCTGATGTTTGTTTATCCATCAAATAAATTTCTTCACAACTTTTTCGATATAATGAAAAATGACAAGTACGACCAATATAACCAGTATTTGAACAATCACATGAATATGTTCCATTATTATATGGTAATGTAGCAATACAACGACCATCATGTTCACATGCTTTTGGTCGATGACATGGATTAACTAATTGACAATTATCCAATGAAATTTTACCGAAAATTTGCGATGTTTGTTCACGCAATGTTCTTGGTTCAATATGATTTTCATTGATAATCAGCTCCCGGACACAACCAATAAATTTGGATTGATCATCAAACGAACCAAATAGAATATCTTCATGAAAAAAATCTACCGATGAATCATAACGACCTTTAACATCAATTAGATTGACAATCATTTCGATAAGACCATTATTTTTAAATATTATATCAATAGAATTCCATTCGGTTATATTCAATGAATTATCATTACTTAATGTCCATTTTAGTTTATTTTGTTTTGTTGCTAAAGTATCGTCGTCGTCGTCATCGTCTTCAATAATCAATTTAACATCTTCATTTCGTACGGATAATGACCATTTTTTCGTTCCAGAATTCATCACTGTATTAAATTTACCTTTTACCAAACTGAATTTATCAACAAATGTTTTGAATTGAAATTTTATTGAAAATGATTTCGATGTTGTTGATGATGTTTGATTCAATCGTGTTTTAAAATAAGAACGGCTATAAAATGTCATTGGTATTGAATCGATTTGATGACAACCAAATTCTCTGGGTAATTGACTAAAATATCTTGCTTTTTTTGAATTCATATTCAAATCATATAGTATATTATGATGATTAAAATACAGATGTTTTAAACAACCAACAAATTTTTTGTTTGCCAAATAGAATGGCAGATCCAATTGTGAAACATTAAGATTAGAAGGAAAACCACCTACATATACTTCAGGATCGAAATAGAAATATGGTTCAATCGAATCCAAAGTGATTATTTGTATGTTGATATTATCAATATAAACATGAATTTTTCTCATCAAATGATGTACGGTAATATTATGCCATTCATTATCCGTCAAACGATAATTATTAAAAATATAATTTTTTGGATTATTATTACCTAAATCGAATAATAGATTTAAAAATTCATTTTTGATATTTATAATTAGATAACTTTTTTCGATTTCCGATATGGCCAAAAATAATAATCCATTATGACGAGTTTTCAAATGTAAACTTATAAGATTATCATCGGAATAATATTTATCAATAAATGAATAAATTTTATATGACAAGGATGAATAACCACGAAATGTCATAACAGTATAATTAAAACTACGACAATCTGAATCTTCCAATTCCGTTCCGAAACAATTACATTTTTTTGTATCATAAAAATTCATACAACGTGAACGTCTTGAACATAAATTTTTTTGACATTGATCCACACAACCATCGGTAATGTTGATAAAATTCAATTCACTTGATGATAATGTATCAAAATTATTAACACTGGAACGTGAAATAATATTAACATTTCCAATACAGCCGATAAATTTTCGTATATTCCATGAACTACCACTTCTTGATGTTGTTGATAATTTCGGTTCAAATGAATGGCTACCAAGAATCAATTGAAAATTTAAACGTTTATCATATTGTGGTTTGATGACGGTAGCATTGAAATAAAGTGATTTATAATACTTATTATTGGTGGTCGTAGTGTTTGTTGAATTTATTCGAACATTAAAAAAACCTAATTCAAGATTCATAAATATTTTCACTGTATGTAGATTATCATGATGAAAACTATGGCCAATAATTAATTCTTGTGGCGGTGATTGTTGATTTAATGATTGATTTGAATCATCAACATTTACGATCAATACTTTAAATCTACCATTTTGTATTGTTAAAAATAATTCAAAAATTGCATTTTTTTGATCATTCAAAAGATAATAACTTTCATAGAATAACATTCCATTTGGATAACTTGTTCTGTATGAAATGTAAAATATTCGAACGACAAGGATAAATTCCGGGAAAAATTTCCCAAAAAAAAGAAACTTACCGAAAATCGAACGATATTTCCTTTTTCGAATGTATCAATTTATCGGTAATATTTTTATTTGCACTCAATCGAATTTGTGAATTTAATTTATTAAATGTATAATAATCTTTTATTAATAAATTTGATGTTGTAAAATTTTCAATAGTTTGTCCATTTGTTTGCCATTGTATTGAACAATCATCATGGATTATTATTAAAATGAATGCATAAACAGATAATAGCGATGATAATGATGAAAAATTAATTATTAATGAAGATCGCATAATTTTGATTTTTTAATTAATTTCAATGATGATATTGATGAATATATTACCATAGTTGTTGTTGTCGATTTGAAAACGAAAATTTTGATTTAATTTTTTTTTCTGTTTTGTTTTCTCCCATTTCGCAGCAGCAGCAACAAGTTGTTTTGATAGTGATATCAATCCATGAGAAAGGGATCATCCCGCCATGAAAATGTTTCTTTATTTGAAGTTGCCGTCAAACCGAAATGAAATGGAAATTTTTTATTTACACAACACACTTGGCACACACATTTTATCTTGGTCGTCGTCGTCGAGACTACATTATTTATTGATTGACAATGATGATGATGATGACAATATTTTTAACAGACCTGATGATTATTTTTGTTGTCAGATTATCATCATCATCATTATTGAAATTAATAACAAAAGAAAACGAAGATTCTTATTTTTTCAACAACAAAAAAGAAAAACATTCGATTCGAATGTTGAAAAAAAAGATGTGCAGATCAAGTTCTACTGATCAACTGATCATGCTCCATTCGAACATATATCATTATCATTATTCTTCTGTCATCAATGCCATTCTTTTCCATCAAAATGTTTATTTTTATCTTTATCGTTGATGGTGGTCATATATAATTGACGATTGATTAATGATGGATATGATAAATCATCATGATAAATCATCACTTGAACAACAAAGATTTCTTTTTTTTTTTGGAAAAAAAAGAAATCTCAAAAAAGCTATTCATTCATGACTTGTCATTCGAAGAAGAAGAAAAAATCTTTGGCGGTAAAAAACAATCTTTTAATCATTATCCATATCATTAGACTTTTTAATTGAATGAATCTTTATTTTTTCGTTTTTCTGACAGGCATATATTTATCATATCGAAAAAATCGAAAAAAAAAATCTATTTATAATAACCGTTTTTAATGAATGATGTTATGATAATGAGTTTGACAAATATGACATCGACACTTTTTTTTGAAGAAAAACAGGGCACCAAATTTGTTTGTCTTGTTTGGATTCAAATCAAGTTCAACCAAACCAAAGAAACGACAAAACATCACTTTTGTTGATAATTTTTGAACAAACAAACCAAAACGACCAAAAATTCACCAATCAACAAGTTGTTGATCGATCGATTGGGAAAAAAAATCAATGAATGACAAACAAACACATAGTGCAATCGATTCGATTCAAAGAAAAAAAAAACAAACAAAAATTATTATTGTTGATATTCAATACCACTACCATATATATGATTTTGCGAAAAGAAAAATTACAAAAAAAATGAGTAAATCAAGACAAATAATAATAATTTTTAATAATTTTAAACCAACAGTATTTGTAAATTTTTTTTTAATGATATGCAAAATTATAAATATTTCAAAAAAAATATAACATGTTTTTTTTAAAAAAATGGACAAGAAAAAAAAATTGTCTGGTTTCAGCGTAAAAATTGTATCTCATTGTGTTTGTATGGCAGCAGCAGCAGAATGGACGTCAAACATTTTTTTTTTTGGGAAAATAGCTGCCCGAAAATATTTGTAAAAGCTGCATAAATGAAGAATTCACTAAAGAAATCTTTGTAACATAGCACGAAGAATAGATCCAGGTATTATTTGATTCGTTTTGATTATTTCTTCAAGTTTGTTGGCAGTCTATTTTGTTGTAAAAAAAATTGGAAAAAAAAATTATTTTTTTTTGTCAAAAAAAAAACTCAAAAATGAAATACCATTTCAGCAATTTCTTCAACAGTTGAATCTGGTTCAAAATAAATTGGTTCACCAACAATTGTTTTTAATTTAACCGGAAAACCACCATAAATTAACATTAATGGTAGCTTATATGAATCATAAATTTTTCGAAATAAATTTGGAAATATTTGTACAGTACGAAATGCTTCACGAATATTTACAGTAAATACAGGTATAATTGGAACGTTTGCCTGTTTGGCAACTTTAGCAAAACCAATACGTCCACTCCAAATCAGATTATAATTATGATTACCAAATTGAGCTGAGTAAAAACAAAAACAAAGAAAAAAAAATTTAAAATTTGATTTTCTTGCATCGCCATATGATTAACTAACCTTCACGTACACCACCAGGTGAAATAGCCAAAAGATTACCTTCATTTAATACTTTAACACAACTACTAACTGAACCGGGAAATAATTTCAATACTCGTACCAGCAAAGACCATCCTGGTATATGGATAAAAAAACGATCAACAACCGAATGTAACAGACGTTTTTTATGTAGATAACATTTTGATATAAGATAATAATAATCAATTGGTAGGGCACCATGATAATAAACAATTAATGCCGGACCATTATCGGGTATATTATCAAAACCTTCAATTTCATAACCATAATAAATATGACCATGTGCATCCCACATTACTATATTCGAAGATTGAGAGAAATTCAATGTTAATAAAAGGAAAACATTAAATTCAGTTTTCAGAAACGAAAACAAAACATACTTGCAATTGCATGCATAGCACCATCCCAATATCTACGATGTTCCAGATCATCCAATAATTGATCTAATGCTAATTGATTACGATGACGATAAATATAAACAATTAATGCTGATATGTAGAATAATAATATTATAAATAAGGGAAATAAAAATGTAATCTATAAATGAAAATTACAAATTAAGAAAATTACAAAATAAAGAAAATTACAAAATTAGAAAATTACACATACCAACAATGGTGTAAATAACCATATTAGCCAACGAATAAGATGAACATCAACATAATCTTGTATTATAGATGTAAAATTCCAATCCATCATTCCCGAATCACAAACTGATGATGATGATGATGATTAAATGAATGAAATGATGCTCGATTTTGAATTTTGAAAACAAAAAACAATGTTTTGAATGAAGCAGAGAAAAACAAAATCACCGGAAAAAAATCATTTTCTTTTTCGAATCACAATCAGAAGAAGAAGAAGAATAAAAAGAAGAAGAAAGACAAATTCTTTATCAAAATTTTCCTTGAGAAAAAACGTTTCCAAACTATCAAAACTTAATCACATAATCATCATCTTTTTTCTTGATTTATTCATTTCATCATTGTGTGGTGTGTGTGTTTGTTTGTGTAAAACATGTTATAAAACAATATTTCTTGTTATATGACTTCACTGCATTGCATTACAACACACAAATCAAATGATGATTTTATGTAAACAAAAACACACCACAACACTGGGGAACGAGTAGAATCCGTATAAAATAACGGCAGAGTGTTTATATCTGAGTAATAAATAATGAAAAAAAAGATTGCGTGATTTAAGATTTGCTGATGTTTGCTTGTGTTTTATATCAAAAAGAAAAAAAAACATGAATACTTTATCTATGAATTGATTGGGCCAATATTCGAATGTTTTTCAAAAATGAATTTTCTTCATCAGGATAAAGTACATAATGTAATGCCAATGATGATTAGAAATAAACCGATGAGAATTTCTTCGGTTTGGTTTGGGTTTGTTTTGATTGGAAATAATGAAGGAAAAAAGAATTAAAATTATTGGAAAAAAAATCAATCAAAATAATGATTAATATACCATACCTGTATTGATGATAATATTTTCCTTGAAAAACCAACTATCAAATATAAAAACTAATATTAAATTGATTGAATTACTTAATGGTACAGCTAGATTGATTGGTGTATATGATAATGAACAAGTATATATGATTGAACCAAGTTGATTTAGTAAAAAAAATATGATAAACTAAATAATCAAATGATAATTATTATTATCAGGAAAAAAAAACATTCATTATAATTATCGAATGAAAATTACCTTCCAATTTGAAATTAACAATTTAATTATAGGCCAAAACGAAGATAGAATATTTCTCGATGAAATTGAATCATTCCAATCAAATGATTGTTTCATAAATGGTGTTGATAATCCCCATAGAATACCACTTGAAATGGTTAAAATATAACCAAATAAATGATCATTTAACATTTTTCTGGTTTTTGAGATTTTTTCTGGTTTTTTTTCTGGTAAATACACTGAGTCGATGATCAGATCGAACGTTTTTGGTTGTTGGCTAACAATATGGCCTAAATATCTATTTTCACCCATATTGTCGCCAAAGTTTAAAAAAAAAATTTTTTTTTGTCAAATTTTTGTTAAAATAGAAAAATGATCATGGTCATCGCTTCCTACTCCTTAAAATCATGGTCAAATTTCCGGGAAAATTTCCTGTGAAAAAAAAATTCGAATGCAAATATTTCCGGAATAATGATGATCATTTTCATTCGATTTTTTGGTTTTTTTTGTTTTTTTGATAAATCCTGAGAAATGTAAAACAATTTTTCGCTGTTTTTGTTTGAACCTTATATTGGTGGGAAGAGATAATTCATTTCATTTCATTTCATTTTTTGTCAGTTTTCTAGTCTGCGCGCAACAAGTGTATAACCATTTACCACTTTTGACGACGACGATGAAATCAACGCAGGTAAAGGTAAATATATACAGTTATTATTTGTTGTTGTTTTTGTTCATTTATTAAGATTCATCATAAACTTTTTTAGATTTGAAAATGCGGCTTCGTTCAAAATAATAATTATTATTATCAAAATGGAAATACAATCCAAAAAGAAGCAGAAAAAATTGATGTCCTTGAACAACAACAACGATTGTTGTATATGTTTCATCGCCATCATGTTTATTTTATTCAATGTATTTTTTTTCCTACGAAACTTGTGCAACAACAACAACAACGAAAAAGATTGTAGGCGTTCGAAATATTCATTCATTCATTGTATATATGGCCATTGGTGATGATTATGATGATAATGATGATTGTCTATAGACGATGTATGTATATAGGTTTCCTTCATTTACTAAAATTACTAATAATGATGCTTGCCAACAGGTAACAGCAAAATATAAATAAATAACATTCATTATTGATTTTCTCTTTCAAAATTTAGCAAAACTAAACAAACATCCACCACTTGTCCTTTTTTGGAAATATTGCCCATTTTTTTTTCTCGTTGTCTCCATCACCATCATCACCTTACGTTTTTGGATTTTGCCAAAACGGTGTTCAGTAGGAAAAAAATCAGTGTTTTTTTTAAAGAACGCTACCAATTTTATTTCATCCAATTTTTTCGCTACCACCACGCATTTATCAATCAATCAATCATCCGGTTTTATTGAAGAATGACCATCTAATTTACAAAAAAAAAACAAACTATAGTTTTTTCTTTTTTATTCCTACGTTTTAATTAAATATCTTCTTCTTCTTCTTCTTCAACGACAACAACAATGATGACGACAAACAACATCACATCCTCTTAATTCTTAATATAGTCAAATTACTTTATTTGGTTCAAAAATTTTCGTTTCGTGTTGCCAAAAAGGTTGTTTAAACAAATCTCATCATTGTTCATCATCGTTTTTTGTTTTGTTTTGTTTGATATTCGCCACAAAGCATTTGGTCATCATCATAACGATCATTATCATCCATTGGAGTGAATCCAATGTTGAACATTTTCATCCAAAAAATCTATGTGAATCTTTCCCGAGAAACAACCCGAATAACAAAATGATTCGTACCAATATTGAAAAAAAACCATCAAAACATGGTTCAACAACAACAACAACAACGACGACATCGTTTAGAGCACCACCATCAAGAGATGCTAATAATTATTATCACCAAAACCAGCAACAACAAAAACATCATGAAAATATTAATCGATCTCGTTCAAATTTTGATGGTGATGATAATGAAATTATCTATGATGAAACATGGCCACTTGATCAAGTGATTAATAAAATTGATTTAAAATCTGATGATAGTGATAATGATGATGATAATCGACCATATAATATTGAAATTGAAAATTGGCATAGTGGACCACAATTATTATCAAATACATTTGATTCGGGTAGAAATTTAAAACGTTTACCTGGAAATGGTCAATTGTATTCATCATGGAATCAAGGATCAAAAACATGGAAAGATAAATCCGTACAACATCGTAAATATAAAATTAAAAAAAATCCATCCATAACAAAATTAAATAAATCTATTGGTTCTTCTTTATCCTATGGTAAGTATGCGGATGATAATTGGCTTCCAAGAATAACCCTTTTTTTCAATCAAAAAGATATGAACAATAATTATTTGGACATGGATATAACCTATGATAATGATAATGATAATGTTGATTTTATTGATGATTATGATTCATCAATATTATTACGTGATGTTGGTATACAATGTAATCTGAAAAAATATCCCGAATCTATTATTGATTCGATAAAAAATGAATTCACAACAACAGCACCGAAAATGATTGTCACAAATAAACCACCAATCAAAGTAATAAAATCATCAAATAATGGTATTGTTTCTACATTTAGTGATGTTCCAAAATTATCATCACCAAGTCCAATCGATTTAGATTTAGATTTAGATCAACGATCATCATCAATTCGAAGTACGGATGTTATTTATAGTCAAATTGATAAAAGTCATAAAAGTAACAATAATCGTAATGGTGGTGGTGGTAATATCAATATTGTTTATAAACAACCATTAAATATTAGTAAACAGCAACAAACATCATTCGATGATAATTCAAATAGCATGTATGATATTAAAACCAAACAATTTGGATTTGATTTAAATAATCCAAATTTTCGAAAAATTCCATTACCAAATCCGAATGAAAATCTATGGCCAGAATCATCATCATTAAATCAATCAACAATCAATCAAAAACAACCAAAATATGATAAAGAAGTATTGGAAGAAACAATTTCCATTTCAAATTCATCAACCGATGAATCTTTAATTCATAATCACGATATTAGAATGAAACCAAAAGAATCACGTAAAATGAAGAATAAAAATAATTCAATGATTGGTCATCATAAGAAAAATGATGAAAATATTTTACTTGAAAATAATTCCTTACGATTAAAATCATCAAAATCACCATATTCTGAACGTTTACATAAAAGTAATGCAGATTTACGTGAACAATTTCTACAAGATGAAACAAGAGGTGGTCTGGCTGCTGCTTATAAAAATCGACAACAACAAAAACAACACCAACAACAACAACAACAAAATAATCGTCATAGAACTTTATCATTAAATCGAATGAATGCTGCTAATGTTATTAGTAATGATGAAAATCGTCAACAACAACACTATCCACCTGTAACAGTGAAACCAAATCGTCATTTAAGCCAAAGTCATTTGAGTTCAAGATATTCAGATTTAGGTGTTGAAAATGGTCAACATTCACATCCACCTCGATCATTATCATCATCATCACGTTCAAGATCTGTTCATCATGAAAGAGATCCAATTGTTATGTTAATACCACCAGCAAATCATCATAATGATCAATCACAACGTTTAACAAGTATATTAAGAAATAATTCAACAAAAAGTAATATTACTGTACAATCAAAGGCGAAAAAATCATCCAGACCACAACTAAAAAGTCAAAGTAAAATTAATTTGAAAGATTTTTCCACCAATGCAGATAGTAAAAAAAGTAACAGTGAAAAACAACAACGTGTTGTTGATCTAAATCGTCGTTATTCAATGCCAAAAGATACTAAATTCAATTGGCTTAATAAATTTAAGCTAAAAAAATAAAAAATGTGTCCCTTCCGGCAATCTGTGACTAAGGAATTATCAGTTTGCAATCATTTTCCCCTTATCAAATTCGGATGTTATGATTAGAAAAAAATAGACTTATCTTTAAACAAACAATCAATCATTACCTACCTAAACACACACACACACACACACAAACAAAACACACTTTTTGTTTCACTTCTATGGTTTTTGTTTTATCAAAAATTATTAATCATTTTTTTTTTGCTAAATGAAAAATATGCTTTTTACACAGAGAACCTAACCATTCAAACAAACCAAAAATGAAATCCCAAATAAATTGCAATGATGATGATGATATGATATTGTTTTGTTTGTTTGAAAAAAAACACTGATGCTATGCAACCAACACAACATATCCCGACCAACAACAATCATAAATCGATCTGGTCAAAACCGTTGACAACCACAAATACTTACCATACTTTTTGATGATAATAACCTTAGTTACCATCAAATATCGGGGCGATGGCTCGATTATCTACAGAGGCTACCAACAACAACAAATTTTTTTGTTTTGCAACGACAATTTCAATCGTCATTTCATCAGTCATTCTTTCTGAATTGGTCGATAATTTTTATTGTTGGTTTTCTTCGATTTTTTGATTCAAGATTTGCGAACAACAAAACGAACAAAACGAACGAACGAAAATGGCCGTATCAAAAACCTGTATGACAATGTTGATCACAGTATTCAACATATTAATCATAATATTGGCTATTATAATTTGTTTTTTAAGTTTAAATCAATGGAATGATTATGCAACATGTGCATTTACAATTCTGGTAGCATTATTATGGATGTGTTGTCTTTGTTCCGAAAGTAATGTTGCAATTGGTGCATATACTTTACTAATGTTTATCGATTTATTATTATTATTATCAAATTCCCTTTATCATTCAGTAATGACAGCAAAATATTCAGATTTTTGTTTTCATAATAATGTTAATGGTATTGCACCGGAATGGGGTTGTCATGATTGGAGATTTAGTGGTTATTATGAACGTTCGATTGGTGTTACTGTTTGTTATTATTTAGCATTCATTTTTCGTTTGTTGAATATTGTCGGTTCTTGTTCGCTTACCTATAAAATCTTCAATGAAAATTAAAATTTTTTTTAAAAACTAACTAAATTTCATACAATTTTTTTTCCCATCAATCCATCATTGTATTTTTAATATTTTTTCTTTTCTTTTCGAATCATTTACAATAAAATTACAAAATTTTTTTTTAAACAGAATCACTATGGCTAATTTCATTTTGATTTTTCGAAAATCATTCGAATTCAATTATAGAATGGTCCACTCTGATAAGAATCTCTTGGTGGTTTTATTGGATCAAAAACTTCCAATGGTTTTCGTTCACCTCTCATCACCTGTTTCAATCGTTCACGTTTCATTTGAAAACTTCGTTCTTTCTGTTTTTTTGGAAATAAACAATGAATAAAGGGGTTAAGATCGATCGATCGAAGAGTATTTGATATGCTTTCCAAGACAAAAAAAACTTACCTGCATAAAATGAAACATACATTCAGTATAATCATCAAGAAATTCTTTGCATAATTTATGACCACGACGTGCACCATATGCTTCTAAACATTCAAGTGTATCTTGTTCAAGATCACCACATTCTTGTTGTTTAGTTAAATGTTTAGATGTTAGATCTAAACTATCGGCATTTGTTCGTACAATACGATCAATAAAATGTAGATGAAGATCATAAGGCATTTTTGTTTTGTTTGATGGTTTTTTTTTCAATCAATCAAAATTTGAAAAAAAAATTTATTTCAATCGAAAATTTATTGAAAAATTTCATTCGACTTTGACCAAAAATATTGAGTCATCCGCAACCATTCATAAACACAATGTTCTCGAACGTTTTAAATGAAAAGCCCATTTCGAAGCCAAAAAAAAAATGGAACATAAAACTGAGAAAGGCAACCACAAAAAAAAAAATGGAAGTGGTATAGAATTACGAAGCAGCAGCAGCAGCTACAGTTAAATCACGTAGCATCAATTGTTTGTTTGCTTGTTTGTGAGATGTTTATATTCGATCAATGATGATGATGATGTTGTTGTTTTTTTTTGTGATAAAATCAATGACGACATTTCTAATTTCTAAAATACATTGATTAATTAGAAGAACAACAACAAAAACAAAAGATTTGGTTATGAAATTTGATTTGAAAAAACAAACAAACAACAGCAAAATCTTCTTTTTTTTTTGAATGAGAATTGTTGATGAAAACCAGAAACAGAAAAAAAAATGAATTCATTGTTCGTTGAAGATACCGCCAATGTTCATCAAAACAATGTCATCATTGATGAAAAATTATGTAATAATTTCGATTTGAAAAATATTGAATTAAAATTCGAACATTTAATGATTGACAAAAAACGTTCGAAATTTAAATTGAATAAAAACAATTCGAATAATACTGATGATGATAATCTACCGAATCCTTTTGGCAAAAGAAAATGGTAAAGTTTGAATTTGACTTTTTTTTCATGTTTATAACTCTTTGTTTCCATTTTGAATCAATATAGTTCAAAAAATAAGAAAAATTCAAAAATCAAGTCAGCCAATAATTTGAAAAAACGATCCTTACTTATTTTGGAAAATAATGATTACATTGAATATTTGATCAAAAATAATGATAATGATGATAATTGTTGTAGTTCGCCAACCGAAAAACTTATGTACGATATTAATGATAAAATGGCTTCATTATGGACAAAAAATGGCTATCGAAACAGTAACAACGAAAACAATAACGATTGTGGTCATCAACAAGCAACAGCAACAGACAATCTTAATAATGATAAAACAAATACGGAAATATCATCGTCTTCAAATCAACAACAAACTTGTGCACAACAAGCAACATTATATGATAATTGTGATTCATCATTAGTTATTGAATTAGCTGCCTATTTAGATGAAACATTGTATATACCGAAAAAAATGTCATTTATGGCTGAAATGATGTATACCTGATCGGATTTGGATTTTACTATTTGAAATTCAGATAATTAACACTGCTGCTGAAATAATTCTCAATTTTTCTATATTTAATTAATAATGTGTGTGTGTGTGTGTGATGTAAATAAAATTTTTTAAAAAAAAAAGTTTTAAAAGTTTGTAAAAATTTTTATATGGAGATTCGCGCGCGCTTATTTTTGTTATCTTCCAAAACGATATTCATTTGTAGTGATAGCAACCAAACCAGCCAGGTAGCAGGGTTAGTCATCAAGCAAACTAACCAACAAACAAGTCATTCAGCCAGGTAAACAACAGAAGCAGCGAAAAATCACACACACATCTATAGATGTGCTAGGTGTGTATGTAGGTATAATTCATTCAGGTGAGTTCGTTTCATCATCATTCGATTGGCATTTTTGAAATTCATTCGAAATAAACAAAAACAAACAAGGAAAAATGCGTCTAAAATTAATCTTACTTGTTTTGTTTTTAATCAATTTAAATGATTCGGGTAAGTGTTTTGTTGATCAAACTAATTGATTTTTGATTTTGATTTTGATCGATTTTTGATTTTTTTTGATCCACACAAGCCATTGCCATAAAATGTTTTCAATGTGACAGTAATATTGATCTGGAATGTAGCGAATATTTTGATCCAGATATGACTAGTTTACAATCAAAATCATGTGATAATGTTTTTGAAGCAAGATTCTGTATTAAAACAACCGGAATGTATGGTGGTAAGTCGATCGAATCAATCATTTCGAAAAATTTTTAATTTTCCATCAATTTTTTTCAATTCGAATCAATTTCGACCCAAGGTGTTATCGGTACAATTCGAAATTGTTCATCACGGGATTTAGGTGATCGTTGTTCATACTTGAAACGACCCGGTGATCAACGTTATGTTCGTAGTTGTGTTTATACTTGTTCATCGGATGATTGTAATCATGCTCAAAAAATTAACCATTCGTTACCATTATCCATCACCCTCATCATATTTATAACATCGATTTTTTATTTATAAAAAAAATAAAATCAAATGGCTGGTAAATTATACACAATAATTTTATTTACAAATTTTTTTAAAATTTTTTTTTCATGTAAAAAAAAATCGAATCAAATCAAATCAACTTTTTTTTATAATAATAAGCATCTCTTTTTTTTAAAAAATAAATCATCAATTTTGTAAAAACTTGTCGCGTCCAAACACACATTGTCAATGTGAATGTTTTGTAAATTTTTAGAAGAAAAAATATATATGGATCGTCACTTGTTGCAAAAATTATTCAATAAATCATCTTTTACGGTTCAATTTCGAAGGAAACAACAAAAACTAAATGTTTGTTGTTGAATGTTCGGTTGAATCACCAACAACATTTTGTGTACCATCACCACCACCACCGTAATTTTGATGATGATTTAAATGAGCAGCAGCAGCATCAACAACAGCAGTTGTTGATGAAATTTTTGAATTATCATTGTTGTTGTTGTTGATGATTAATTCATTATTAGTTGAATGTTGTTGATCTATTGATGATTCTTGATGATCATTACCATTATTATCATTTTGTTGTATGATTATCTGATCATCATTCGAATGATTATCATTTGATGGTGATATCATCATCATTTGATGATGTGGATGATTATCATTTGTTGTTTCAACAATAATAAATCTATCTGGTAAAAAATCACATGTTTTTTCATTATTTTTATCCGGTGATATTAAATTCTGTTGCTGTTGGTGGTATTGTTGTTGTTGTTGATGATGATGATGATGATGACAAACTAAATCATTTGGCTGTTGTTGTATAACAATAATCTGTGCCGGTGTTATCGTTGATGATGTTGTTGTTGTTGTTGTTAAACCAGTTGAATTATTATTAATATGATTATTTTTATTCTGCGTTTGTAATGATTTTTCACAGAATGCCATATAATTATTATTATTATTATTTGAAACATTCAATTCGGTTAATGCTTCAAATAGTATTTGTGCAACATTTTCTTTATCATCCTAAATACAAAAAAAAACGTTACTAATGAAAAATCACAAAAATGATAAAAGAATAATATTGCTTACCTTATTAATAAAACCATAATAAACAAGTTCTTGTGATATAGTTGGTGGAATTAATTGATCTTTTAAAATTTCACATGTAAGTTGACGATTAATTTTATCATCTAATTTAATCACAATTTTAATATCATAACAAGTTGGATCGGATGCCATTAATTGTACAGAACAATTCATATAAACAATACGTCTTGTTTCTTCATCATAAGGATTATCCGGTGTATTAATTTGTTTATGTGCTTCATCAATTATTTCCGGTGATATTGTACGTTGACGACAAACTAATGGTGGTCGGGTTGTTGGCATAACAGCTGTTAATGGATATGCACCATTTTTTACTTCATCTAATAATTTTTCCAATTCACGATTAGGAAAATCTGATTGTTTAAATAATATTGATGGTTGTTGTTCCGAACGTCGAATTTCAGCAACAATCCTATCATTTTGATTTTGTAGACAAAGAAAACGTGAAATTGCTTCTTCAGTCAATTGTTCGGGCTGTAATGATGGATTATTTAATATTGAATGTGCACAAAATAAACGTAATGTTGGTACTTCAAATATTATCGGATGAAATAATAAATCACGTGCAGTTGGTCTTTTTATTGAATCTTTTCGTAAACATTGTTGTATGAAATCACGTTGAATTGAATTATCTAATGATTCAATAGTTTTATTAATAATTTCATCAGTAATATGATGTGGTTGATCATTATCACTAGGAATTTCTAATGCAGCCATTTCTAATGCACACATTCCAAATGAATAAATATCTACCGATGGTGATAACATTGGAAATTCTTGAAAATTTCCCAATTCTGGTGCAATAAAATGTAAATTTGATTTTGCATCCGATCGTACAGTTTTTACATGACGATGTATAGCATCCGGTGCAATTGCACCGATTTTAATCAAACCATTATAACTAATAAAAATTGTATCACAATTTATATTTCCATGTACAATTGATGGCTGTGATGAATGTAGATAACATAATGCCGATAATGTTTGTGTACACCATCTTCTCCAAACCTTATTGAAATCAAAAAATATTCATAAATCAATCAATCGAATCAAATCAATATTCACATTACCTGTAATGATATTTTAATATCATGTCTTTTAGTTTTTTCAAAATATTGCCGTAACGAACCACTAGACATATATTCAGTTATGAATACAACTTTTGGTACATCCGTATCTTTATGTATCCAATATTTATGTAATTTAACAATATTTGGATGTTCCAATTGTATTAAACGATCAAAAACTTCACTAATTGTTTCTTCTTTTGCTTTGAAAAATTTCCGTTCTGAAAATCGTACTTCATTCCAAACAACTTCAACACCTTCTTCAGTATCCATTGCTAAATATGTAGCATCTATACCAGGTATATTATTTTGTTCCACCTAAGATTCGAAAAAAAAATTAACCGAGAGTGTTGAGGGTTAAGCAACAAGTATTACCTCTTCACGTCTTTTATGCCATCTACCACATGGACTTTCTTCCAATATTTCATTTTCTTCTTCTTCCGAATCATCAACAGCTGATTGTTGTTGACTAGTTTTTAAATCTTTATGTTCATTATGTTTTGATTCCATCATTATAATTAATCAATCAAGGTAGAAAAATATTCAAGGGGAAAGAATGATTTTAGGATGCTAATGATGAGAGGATTGCCACAAAAAGTTTCTGATTTTTTCAAAGACAAACAGAAATATCGTCGCTTCCAGAATCTAAAATTTACAACCAAAAAAAAAACCCAGAATAAAATAACACTGCAAATTGAATTGTAGTAAAAAATCTAATAAATTCCATAGGAAAAACACACACACACACACACACACACAAAAACAAAACAAAAAACACAAACCCAAAAACAAAAAAACATATAAAAACAATAATCCACAACGCTGAGTACCAGTATTATTATTATTATTATGTTGTTGTTGTTGTTGATGATGAGTATATTGGTATATGTTGTGTGTGTGTGTATATATGGTGTATATGATGGTGCGAATGATGTGTGTGTTTGTGTGTATACAATTTCATATCACACAAACACACCATACACACACATTTGCTAACAAAAAAATTAAATGGAAATGAAAAAAGACTAACTAAGAATGTCACCAATACTTTTACATTACTTGCACTGAATACACACACAACAACAACAACAACGCCGACGATAATAATAATAATAAACACTGATGATGATGATGATGACAACAACCAATGTAATGATAACTTATTAATATTAATAGCCTCAGATGATTCTATAGTTGAACAAAATTGCCTTGCATTTTTCAATTGATTGATTGATGGATTTCCGTTCAATTTCGGATCGAACGTTTTTTTTGGAAAATTCTTTTTTAGATAAAAAAATCGGTACTTTTTCGGAAAATTACCAAACAAAAAAAATCAACCTACCTTGTTTGTTTGAATGTTGGCAAGGTTGCTTTGTTTTTGGAATTTAAGATTCACAAATCTCTTGATGGATATTTGATATAATTTTTTTTCATTGTTCTTTCTATGGCTGTAATATAACGATGGTATTTAAAGTGTTGTTTGTTCAATGTTTCTAATATCTAATCTTTAAAAAAAATCGAATCTGTAAATGTTGTTGTTCTCGATGTTAGTTGATTGATTGATTGAGAGTTATTCGATAATGTTTGATGCTTGATGATTAGTTAGTTAGATAGATAAAATCAATGTTAATCAATCGATCGATCGATCGATTGATCGATGAAAATCAATATCACACAAAAATGTTAAAAAAAAATAAAATAAAAACATTCACATAATTTCTTAAAAAATAAAAGAATCTTCTTGAATTTTAGAAAATAAAAAACTATTTAAAAATTAAAAAACATTAATGATGGCCAATATTAGAGAATTGACTTTTTGCTTCTTATTCACGAATAATAATGTGTTGATGATGATGATTTTGTTTGTTTTTGTAAAAAATAAAAAAAAAAAATTCAGCTCATTTTTTTTTTTTTTTTTTTTTTGGGGGTTTTTTTTTTCAAAAAATCCATGCATGCCTGCAAAAAAAAAATGCCAAAACGNTAGTGAGGACTGTAAGATCGAATTGATATATTAGTTCAAGGATTTGGAGCCTTTGGGGGTGTCGGCGCTACTGTTCCACAGAGTGTGGCTGCTGTTAGAGTCTCCACAGATGAAGATGGGTGTCGTTGTGTTGAGAGACAGGGGTCCGTGAACAGTGATTAGGGTGTGGAGGGAGAGGGGGATTGGGTGGAGGGGTTATTGTTTGTTACGTTGGGAATGGAAAGTTTGTTAAAGAATTTAACTTTTGTAGAGCTATCATAACATGTTCTATCCCATGTTTGTTTAATTTTGTTGCAGTATAGAGGGCAAAGGTCGGTGAGTGCTGGGTGTTCAGCGGGGAGATTTTTTTCGGCACAGTGGCAGCAGTTGAAATGAGAACAGTTTTTGATGTGTGTTATGAATTCAGATTGTTGATTGTTTATGCGTGTGGTCGAGAATGAAATTCCACAGTTTTTACATTTCTTACTACTCTTATTGGGACAATCCTTTGTTCGATGTTGGAAACTAAGACAATTGCTGCAGTGGCCTAGAAGAAATGTTTGTTCTGCAATACATGCAGACCAGCCAATAAACAAAGTTCGTTGAAACAAAAGGTCGTAAACATGGGGAGAGACGCACAAAATGGCGTCGAAGTAATGCCGTTTTTTGATTGTGAAAAGAAGTTTGATGTGGTTTTTGAGATCTTGCATGTCATTTTGCATGATGAGCTGGTTTATTATATCGGATTCGTTGGTGGAATAATCAATATTTTTAAGCTTAATTGTTGGGCATTTAGGTGTTGGTTCATAGGCTTCCATGGCTGTGTTAAGATCAGGATTTTCACTTACACTTTTGAGGAATTTGTTTTTACTGTTTTCGTTGGAGAACTTAAAAGCAACATTGGTTTTGTTAATTGAAATTTGGTTGCATTTAATGTCGCATGCTGGGATAGAATTGCATATAGCTTCCTTTGTTTGTGGTGGGTTGAGCAGGTTATTTTTTGGTTTGACAAGAACAGTCTTGTAGTTTATTTTTGGTGGGTTTTGAGCAACAACATTGTACGGTGTGGGTTTTTCGTTAGCAGGAGTTGATTCAAGTTTATCCAAGATTTTTTGGAGTTTTTCATTGTTGTCGGTTTGAGTGTCATTGATTAAAAGACGGTAATTGTCGATTTGAGATTTAAGTTGATCTGTCATAGACAGATATAAATCAAGTAGTTTTTGGGATTGGACAGCTAATTCTTTTGCAGGACCTGTGACTTCAGGATGGACACGTTGATGAGAATTAAGGGCTTTATGCATATTTGTAATAGCTGACTTTATGTCATTTAGACAATTGTCTGCCATTTTCACTGATTGTACAGAAGTGAGAGCAAAGTGGCAAGTTTTCGAATGAGAGTAAAAATAACACACGTCTTGACTCTATCGAGGCCAAATGGCGAGTGTGTGTGTGTGTGTGTGTGTGTGTGTGTGTGTGTGTGTGTAGCAAAGAGAAAAACAAACATCAAACACAATATT